TTTATATTACACATAGTAACTAAGTTAGTTTCTGAAATGTTCAAAATGTTAAACTTAGAAGTTAGTTTGGTGAAAATAGTAAATTAAGTCAGAGTAGAAATTAGAAGTTAGATTTTCTTTTTAGGTTAAAATATAAATTTAAGAACCCATTTGTTCAAATGTAAAGTATTACGTAGATAACTAAATTATTAAGTACCCAGTCCTTGATTTTTTTTTTTTTTTTTACAAAACTATAAATTAGATAACTATTATTATATTGTATTATTATTAACTGCAAAAATAAACGAAAATAATGAGTTTGCGATTTTTAATTTTTTGTCTACGAGCGGCTGACGATGAAATTATTGTAGTCATTTCAGTTTTATCATAAATCGTAAATTATTATTAAAGATAAAATAATTGATAACCATGAAAATAGTGTTCCACGGGGGTTCATTATTCAACTGCACTAAGAAATTATTTGGGAAATATTAATAACTCGCTTTAGGTGCAACAGTTCATACATATGGAAAACGATACATAAAACTGAAAATTCAATTTATGATATGTGATAACAAAAATCATAATGCATTTTTTTTTTTTAAACAATAATTAAAGTAATTGTATGTCTTACCGAAATCCCCCAGTTTTTCCTCAATAATTGATAAATCTCCAATATTTTCCACAATAAGAAAAATAAGTTTGAAAAACCGCCAACCTTGGCAACACTGCCGTTGAATTATAAAGAATTTTTTGAAAAAATCATAAAGGTTACCTTGATACCATCATAATTTTTTATCAAGAAAACCTGTGTGGACTACACCCGATAGTCGACCGGTTTATTATTATTTTATAATAAAAATAAATTTATACAAACTTATAATTCTGTTAACTTAGAAATTAACACAAAACATATAATAACATTTAATTCTGTTATCATGTTACCATTTTACCATCTGATATCATGTATTATGTTAAATACATATATTGTAGTATATAAGTTTATCGTTTATGTTAATTTATGTTTTAATAATTTGGAACCCATGTACTGTTCGTGTATTCTATTTAGTTCGAATGAGTTCAACACAAATTCTTGAGATTTGCTTGTTTTATTTTAGGAGTCCAAAGTCCCTCACTCTCCAGTCTCAAATGTTCTTGGCCTAAAATTTTTAACTAATTATACTCGGATGTTAGGCAAGAATTTTTTTAGGTGTTCTGTTATCCAACACAATCGACTCTTCTGGTTTCTTATTGCTTATATTTCGAAATCCCGTAATATTATATCCTGCACACCTATATATCCTTTCACCGATATGAAAGGATCGCTCAATTTAATACCAATTACATAAAAGAACCAGCAATTGAGTCGCTTAATGTCTATCGCCAATAATAACCCCACCTTTTTTGTTTGATTAATTATTTTTATTTAAATTACCCATAATTCCGTTATTGCTTTTTACTGTTCCTTATACTTAAAATGTAGTCATTTTATTTTGTAACAAAAGTTAAATACATTAACAGTTAATAAATAAATAAATATTAGGTTACACAATCAACAAAGATAAATCTTTAGCATATAATTATTCTATGTCCGTGTTTGGATTTTATCATTATTAGTCGGGAGAAAAATATAATATTATTTTTCCACATTGATTGTTTCATTTAATTTATACTTAGATATTATATGATTACTATGCTAATAGTAGTATGAACTCATACAATAAAATGACGTCTTAATATAATGGTAACGGGTTCAGCCACTGTTGTAGGTAATTCAATGTGTAGGTAACCTGTAAGCAACGATAAATCACTGCTAACGAAAATACGACTCTGAGCGGAGTTCAGTTGATGGTGATGCTTTGTCAACAATATGTATGCCATATTATAGTAAAATAATTAAATAAGCTATATATATTTTCTTTACTAATATTTGATTAATGTACCAATTTTCCCGTTTTATCTTACGTTTTTCCCGGTTTTCCAATGTTTTTTTCTAGTTTTTCAAATTCGATGACAGAATTCTTGAAAAAATCAAAAAATAACCTCCCTAAAATACCTTCCTCTAAGTTCCTTTCAGAAAAGGTTTTACACTTAAAAATCGGAGCAAGATCTTTTGCTCCAATCTCTCTTAAGACAAGTTGTCTACAGAAAAAAAAAATAAACATCTTTGTAAAATTATAAGCTTCTTCGCTTTACTCAGAATCTAAAATATAATCCTACGTTTTATATATTTTCCATTAGTTCATATTAGAACACTAATAATGTTGATATCACTTAAATCCTTATCACATAACTACTAGCCACCTAAAATGATTTGTATATTTGTATTCCATCCGTAACACAAATGTGTACAGGATTCGGCGCCACTGAATAATACAGTGTGGAATCAACGTTGTATTATTGGTAATAATAATTAACATTTACCTATTATCATGAACTATGATACCTTAGCTTATGCCTATTAGGCCTTAACAGTATTCGGTCAGTTATCGTTAACATTTTATCACATTATTATCGTATTATCCTATACTTACCCATCAGAAAACGGCTATGAAAGTTTCCGTGTGTGTAAGTAATAGCATTTAATAGGTAACTAAAAAGAATAATTTCGGAAATATTTTAGTTGTGCTTTACATACAATTTTTACGTTATTTTTTTCGTTTTCGTATAAGTAGTGATTTTGAACTATTTAGACAACTTTTAATCACGAACAAACAGAGTAGGTATATCGTAAGTACTTGCATTATATACCACGAGAGCATAATATAGGTACTTTTTAAACTTTGTAAATTTTAATTTGTCTTCATATTTGTACTACCACAATAAATAGTCGTTTGCGTTTCTCGTGTATACTGCAGTGTAAGCTCGGTCGCGGTAATGCGCACGCCCGTGTACTTGGTTATGCGATGCATGTGCTCGCTACGGGCATTTGAAAGTCAGTGGCCGTTGGGGTGTTTTGACGTTAAGGCGCGGAGTACACACGTGCCCTGTGAAATGTTTCGCAGATAAGTCCGTGACGAATAGTGCGTTCGAATTGTTTATCCGCCTTAAAAATATTGTTCTCGGCCGAGTGTTCGCGTACATAATATTATTATTCATATCTACCTACGTTACCGCGGTATTATTCGTTAACAAATTTCCGAAGAGTATACGCTATTAAAATAAGAGGAAACATCGGTGAGTGTTTTTTGTCTTCTATCTCTATGTCCGTTTTTCATCTAAATATTGGATCTCTTGCTCAACATTTTTCTCAGTTATTAATATAATTAAATTAAATAATAATTTACAATCAATCGATTACGTTGTTCTTACCGATTGCTGGCTTAAAAATTGTGTTATTAATTTTTATTGATAGTAAGCACAAAGTAAATAATGTCAAGGAAATTATCACGGATAATTATAATTGTTCAATGTTAAGCTTGTGAGAAAACCCGCGAATTAATCGCTGTATATAAGGGTCGTAATAATATTTTTACGAACTTTAAAACTCAGTTAAGAAAATTAGTTAATAGTATTACAGAAAAAAAAAAAATATATATTAATAATAGTTGACATTAACATAAATATATTGCAATTTCGTAATGACGAGTTGAAACTAGAATATTTAAATCTTATGGCACAAATGGAATTTTATAGCAGTATAAACGGATTATACGAGAGTTAAAAACGAAAGTCGTACAACGATTGGCCATATTTTTATTAAATGTAAACGTATTGATAATATTATAATTATTACACTTGAATCCTGTATAACCGACCACTATAGTACTGTATTAATATACTATGATTTTTTAAAGAATAATGATGAATTTACGTTAATTCAGTTAAGCACATTGTTAGTGGATGAAAAGTGGGAAGAAGTTTTAAATGAAATGAATGTGAATAATTGTGCAATTAGGTTTCATAATATATTAAAATAAATATGTATCCAACTCAATTATGCTGAAAGACAATATTACTGCATCGAGCGAATGCAAAATATAACCATGGATAACAGCTGGTTTAATAACGTCTATTAGGAAAAAGGATAATCTATGCAAAATGACAAATTGAAAGATTAAATGAAATATTTTTTTTCAAATTATTATCATAAATATAAAAATAAATTATGTATTTTACTTAATAAGATATACAAACAATGAATACTATAGGAATATAGCAATGTTAATAGTAATAATAATAATACCAAATAGGTATGGAATATAATTGGTGAAGTGATTAATAGGAATGATACAAATACAAAAAAAAAATTACATAGATAATGCCTGAAAAAGAAGTTATTGATGTTAATTATATACCTAATATATAAATGTGTCAATATATTCAATGACTAGTTCATTGCTATGGGTGAACAAATTGCGAAATAAATTAAAATTTGTTAAATTTATGGATCAAGCGATATTGGATCTCGTTAAATCTCTTCAAATGTGTCAATACAGATAGCAGATTATGTTGTAAATTTGTTATACCTATCGCTTATTTTATTATTTTAAGTTTGTTAAAAGGTGTATTTCCTCAAATAAATAAAACATCAGTTATTATTCCCATTTATAAAGCAGGTGATACAAAGTAGCTTTCAAATTATCGGCCTATTTCTTTGATATCAGCTAAAATTCAACTATATATGTTTATCAAAGATACAAATCGCCTAAGTGAAAAATAATTCGGTTTTAGGGATAATGCGGGTCACCAAGATGCAATCGCATATTTTTCTAAATTAATCTATGAAGCATTCGATAAATTCAAAGAGGGTTTGGGTCTATTCTTAGGTATAGCCAAAGCCTTTGATTCAATATCACACGATTGATTCCTAATAAAATTAAAATGTATAGTATGTTATAATACATTTTGATATTGGTTCAAATCATATTTTCTCAATAGGCCCCGAACTGTTAGAATTGACGATACCATACGTGATTCTTGTATTGTTAATAAATTATGGTGTACCTCAAAGAACGGTATTAGGCCCGAGTTTATTTTCAATTTATGTTAATGACTTATTTAATATAGGAATAGATGTTGACTTTTAAGCATTTGCTGACGATACTACACTATTCTTTGAGCGTGGTAGTTGGACTGAGGTGGAAAATAAAACAAATCTAGGACTGCCAGTAGTTAATAAATGTTACACTAAAAATAGTTTATTGCTAAACAAAGAAAAATAAGTTTTTATTCCTTTTTTACGCTGTAGCAGATAATTGTAAAGACAAAAAGACGGACACACTTCACATAATAGGTGAGACACTGTTGTAGATGGGATGTTGAAAAGGTAAGATATAGAAAGGAATTGCATGTAATATTAACTAATAACTGTAATATTTACTAGGTATTTGAAAATAATAAATTGCGCAAATTAGCCCGTTTTTTCCACGTTTCTCCCCGGTTCATCTAATTTATTAGGAAAACCCCTGAGAAAAATACCTTCTTAAAGTACCACCCTAGTTAGATTTTTATTGAGAAAAATGCTACACTTGAAATTGGAGCAAAATTTCTGGTAGAAAAGTTGTTCACAGAAAAAAACATTATTGTAAAACCATTACATTCCTCACTCCACTAAGAATCTAAAATACAAACACACACACACCGTTGTAAAACCAATAGGTTTTTCGTTACGTTTTGAATTTAAAATACAAATAATAGCAAGATGACTTTTATGCGAATTTGTATAGAAAATTCACTAACATATTCTAATATGATTTTTTCATTGAAATTCGTCTAAAACTGTGAATTAATTTTTCACTAGCTGATTTAAAAAAATAAAAACATGTTCCCCGTAACTCCGTTTCCATCACCATCACGGTTAACCGTTGCTGTTAGGTAGTTTTTTTTTTTAAAGTAAATTGTTATACCTGTGACATTCAAATTAACTAATGATATTTGTTTTTTTTTTTTTAATCTGTATCATCAAGATAAATCATAAAGAGTAAAAAAAAAAATTTTTTTTATCACAAATTCCAAAAACCTTGTACGTATCATCATTAAAGAGTTCAAATTTGGAGGTGGATATTAATCATTCGTTTCAATTAATTAAAACTGGTTTGTTATTATTATTATTATTTTTACAATTATCTCCATTTCAAATAAGTTTAAAAACTTTTTATTGTTTGAGCATGGAATAAGAAAGTTATACATTTAATTAATTTGTCTATACTTAAAAAGCTAAAGTAACTTGTTTTTCAATGTTTACTTTAGGACTTCGATGGACAAATAAAAAGTTGTCTTAATGGGGTCGGGTGCAACCACTGTTATAGGTAATTTAATGTATGCCTGTAAGCAACCATTCCTAACAAAAAAACGATTCTGAGTGGAGTTCAATTGATAGTGACGTCAATAATATATAGTTCATATAACAGTACGTACATATAATAGTACGTATAACAGTATATATCATATTATGGTAAAATAATTAAATATGCATTATATATTTTCTTTAATGAATAGGTTCATGTACTAATTTTCCCGTTTTTCCTACGTTTTTTCTCGGTATTTCCGTGTTTTTTCTCGGTTTTTCACGTTTCCTGGGAAAATTCTTGGGAAAATCGAAAAATGACTTCTTTAAAATATCTCCTCAGTCAGATTTCACAGTTAGAAAAAGTGTTATCATTGTAAATTGGAGCCGAATTGCTGGTAAGAAAGTTGTTCACAGAAAAAAGAAATTGTAATATTTTATTTTATTTTATTTTACTAATATATTACGTACATTTTCCCTCTTTTTTTTTCGGTTTTTCACATTTGTTGAGAAATTCGTGTAAAAATCGAAAAATCTCCTTTCTAAAGTACCAAAAAAAAATAAAATAAACATCTTTGTAAAACCATAAGCATTTTCAGAATCTGAAATTAATTATTATTGTTTGTTTACAAATTAATCTTTTTATTCAAGAAACATGGTTTGTTTTTATAGTTAAACTTATAAGATATTATCTATCCCGTTCTTTGTGTCACATAGAATAGAGGTATACGATATTAGTATTATAATATTTCTATAGAGAACAAAATAATAAAACTGGGTCATTGAGATATTTCTGTTACCGTTAGTTCTTCGCCGACGACTCTGAGAAAGTATTAAGTCATTAAGTATGCATGTAAACACAAAACATATCGTTTTTTTAAAAAATTTTTTTTTATAAATAAAATTATAAAAGAATCGTATAGAAATCAATATCGATTAGTATATCGATACTTGTTGAAAACTTGTTTCAGATTCGGAGCGTAACGAGGAATGTATCGGTTTTACAATGATTTTTTTTTTGTTTTGTTATACTATAAACAAATGATCGAAAAAAAATCTTACTCCGATGTATCGAGTGTAGCACCTTTTCTGAAAGGAAATTTTATCTAGTCGGTGCATCAAACGAGTCATTTTTTGATTATCCGAGGGGTTTTCATAATAATCGAAAGAAACCGGGAAAAACGTAGGGAATTTAAGTACACGTATAAAAGAGACTTCGTTCCGAACGATTTGTCATTACGTACATACGCAAATTAAATTCCCCTCTACATCTTATACCTTCCCGACTTCTCCTCACCTACAACAGTGGCCCGTCCGCCGCGCGAAGTAAGTCCCTAACCGTCCGTTCTTATTCCCGCGACCTTACGGACATTTATCTCCGAAAATATCGGTTTTGGAAAAAAAAAAAAAAAATGTGAACATAGAGACACCGATGGGTACCACACATACCCATCCGTACGTATTCGGTTGGGTTCGCGGTTGATGACGGCCGCCCAGCAAAGAGTATACAGTGACGCTATAGGAGGCGGCCCGTGATCGATTGTTTAAACTCTCTGTATGCGACGTATGCCTACACGTACGCGCACAGCGGACCAACGGGGTGGCCCGCGTGGGTGCGAGATGGTCGCGCGCGCGCGCGTGTATGTGTGCCGTTAATGGATGTTGTTGTTGCCGGCGGTGTAATTTAACCTACCGAAAGTGACCTCTATATACCCGACGACGGAGCGCAGATTTAATGGGTCCTTGAATGGCGCAAACAAAGTCCTATAATATAACGAGTCCGCTCGGATGCCTTCCTATCCGAACGTCCCTCACCCCTTCCTCCCTCCCTGCCCTTCCCCCGTGTCTTTCGAACACCCCCTTCACCTCCCCGCAGTAACCGCCTTTCGCGAAAACTCGTCTTCTGCCCCCCCCCATCCCCCCAAGCCACAGCCATAGGATCCGTGAAGACTTTTAATCGGTGCCGCCGCCGCCGGGGAAACGACGCGACGACAATGGTAAGTGCCTACGACACCGTGCTATAATAGAAATCACAGTGTGTTGTTTATTATATATACCTCGCGGTGTCGGACTGCGGATATCGAAATTCCACGCGCGTCCGAGACGTTGTTGTTTTTTCTTCGCCCGACGGCGGCGCTAGGCATACACGCAATAAATACATATATTTCACGCTGTTTGAACCACACACCCGACATAACTGTGCGCCACGCGTAGAGAGAAAAAAACATAGATCTATATTGAGTAAAATAGACAGGATACTTATTATACCTTAGCCGATGGACACATCAATGGAACGAATAATAATAATAATAATAATAATAATAAAACATTTTTACTCCGCGGTGCGCACTATTATCGGTTGCAAGTTGAAGTCATTAACACAAATCGGCAATTGACCTATTAGTCGTATTCACGATTTTAGTTGTTTTATAATGCGGCTGTGTCCACCGGGGTGACTCTCGCGAATCAACTGGATTCTCTAGACTATTAGTGCTCTCGTGACGGTGTGAGAGACTGTCGAGTTAAGAAATCTCAAATATCTGATATAACGAATCGAGAAACTTTACACGGATTTATATTTTATTAGGGTGATACCGAATGCGCGGTATTTCTTAACTCGACATTTTTTCACACCGTTACACGACGGCGGAGCCACTTCGGTAGACACATTCAGATCCGTGAAGTTAGCCGTATAACTTCAATATTTTCGAACCAAATTTCGCAAACATTTCGTAAGTCATTTGAAAATATTTGTAAGTAAACATTGGAAATTGGTAAGTCCAACCGTTTTTAATTGTTCACAAAAGTTTAAGTCATGGCTTACTTTCGCGAAACTTGGCCGTTTTATCATTTCAAAATTTTTGACCGTGCCATAATGTCGTTGACAATTTGTAAGTATTTGTAAGCATGAATTTTGGCACCCATATTGTCTATAATAGTAATAATATCGTGTTCGATGGACAATATTTAATAACATGTAGTTTATAAGCATTTTTATCAATATCTATGGTTTATAAAATAAAGAAATAATAATGTATTCTCCATTCGATATTTCTATCTTGACGGATGATGTCACAGTACAATATTCCTTCACACTCGGGTTCTCATAATTTCTGGGTGAGACCACCTCTATTATTGACATACCTCGGTACTTACCAACTTTTCTGGCAGTATTTTGCTCATTAGCATTTCTCGGTGGTGGTGGTCATCATGCAGTGAGGGGAAAATATCATTTTTTCGGGATAATAAGAAACATGAATTTAAATAAAAAGAAGCACCAATTGTTTTAAATTTAGTACCGGTACGAATTTAATGCCAGCAAATTAAGGACTCTGAATCGTGATATACGAGATTCAATTTAAGATTAACTTTTTCACTTTAAAATGTGACTTAATCTTGACGTTGATTTTGCCTTTTACCTTTATCTTGATTTACACCTAACAAGTTTTTCTCCCCATTAAAGGTTTTTGATTTTAAGTTTGTACTTGGGATATTTATTTCCTTGGATCAGTATCTGGTTGAAGTTTGGGTCAGATTTTTTCATTTCAAAATTATTGTTAATTTCGGACCTTGATTTTTGGCCATTTTATTTTTTACAGCTTAAACTCGCAAACCACGAACGTCTACATACAGCTAAAACTCGCAACGTCACCATCGTGTCATTTTAACAAAATATTAAACATCCATATATGTTAATAGACCTGTATTGCACTTGGATTTTATACATGTTTTTTTTTTCATTGCAATAGGCAGATACTATTACAATGTCCGTTATAATTGGATTAAAAAAAAAAAAAACAAGCTTCACTGTGTTCCTGCAAACTACACCCGGGAAAAATGTTAAAGGGTCACATGGATCCGGTTACTAGTAGGTAGGTACTGTAGTAGACCCTATTTTATGAATCAGAGCTCTCGCTTCAATGATGTTTATTTAAAACCTCTTGTCGTCAACAGTTCAATACATAAATCGACGGAGAAGGTTTTTTTAATTACGTAAAAACTGATTTTGTTCAATTACCAAAAAAAAAAATCTCTATAATTATAATAATATTATTTCTGTTGTCCCGAAAACATAAACAATTATCCAATACTGCATAGGAGTTATTAAACAAAATGCCTATTATAAGTATGGCACGGGTATTCCCACGTGCTGGTGAGAAGTGTAAAACTAATTTATTTCTGTTTCTACTCATTGGTACATTTTTTAATTGAACACTTCGAAAGCCATTGTATTTTTTCTCGGGGGAACAAATAAAAGTAATTTGTAATAGCAAACAAGTCGGGAACTATACATTCTGCACAGGGCTACAATTCATAAATGCACGCAAAGGCCCACCGGGAAAACGGTCGTGGTCCTATCCACTGGCATGCCACTGTGATTTTAATGACAAAAGTTAATATTTGACTTTGCCGTTTTATATATTATGAAAACAAATGAAGAGGCAGAAATGGTTTTATTGTCTCGTTCTCACGTCGGGCACGTGTTTAAAACGAAACGAACTCTGGTTTACGAATCTCTATTGTTAGACGTATGGTTTTCGTATGTTCTAATGTAATCTTATTTTATTTTCAATGGGTGTGCTCGAAATGCATAATATACCCATGTCATTTATTGTTATACGTTTTTACTGATTCTGAGTGTATAATATTATGTACACTACAATAGCTATAGGAGTTGTTAGTTTTTGCTACCACAGGGATGAACAGCTTCCAAAAAATGGAACATTAATTTCAGTACCTACGTAAATAGTATCCGGTCAATGGCATAAAAACTGAAAGTAAACAATTTAATATTTAATATTTTTATTTCAGTTTTAAGTTCTACCGGTTGACAGCATAATGAAATGTACCTACTTATAATAAATAATCTAAGAGATCTTAAAAAGTAATGATTGCTGATTCATTTAGAAGGTAATCTCGTATACAGGGTGATCAATTTATTACCGATTTTCTCGGTAGATTTTATGGGAATTTGATTTATATATATATATATGTTTTAATATTGCTCTAATAAAAAACGACATTTTTGTTGCATTTTTATTCTTGTTGGTGAATAAGACAGTCATTTTTTGATTTTTAGTGTATTTTTTTAATAATTGAGCAAAACCGAAAAAAACGTAATAAAAACCGAAAAATTTACAGAAAAATAATGGTTTAAGTTTTAAATTTGGGTTTTTTGTTGTAATTCTATTAAAAATATTAGTAGAGACTTGAAATTTTAACAAAAAATTACTGTTGACATTTCTAGATGTGGTAAAATTTTAAAAATATAGATATTTTAAATTTGTGATTTTTTTACTTAATGTTTATTTAGTAGGCACTTAACGGATAAAATTGTTAGGCTAAACAAAAATGCTTGAAAATTTATTAGGAGGTTTATTATAAGTCGTTATTTGTGGGAAAAAAAAATTGAAGAATTTTTTTATAAAAATTTTAATATTCAATTTATACGAAAATCGTAAATATACGGCCTTTTAAAACATATATAATCGAATTCCGTTAACAATCGTTTTTCGTTAGTAATGTTTAAACGTTGAATACATATATACCATGTACATAAATTGCTCCTCTATTATTACATTCCCAACTTCTTATTTAAAACAGTGGCCTACTTATCGTGCAAAATATGTCGGTCTTACTTTTTTTTAATAGATGATATAAAAATATCAAACACGTCAAGCCGAATGATTTTAAATTGTATTGGCTAAATATATAAAATTAAATCAAATTAAATGTGATACCCTAGAGAAGTTGTTTTCTATTTTCCCATCTCCTATAATCGCATTAATCGGTAACTTTGGTTGTTCGCAAAGAGTCAGTATGGCAGCTATTATGTATTTGGCAATTGGACTACTCGATTAAACTTTTGGAGACAAATGAAAGGTCAAATGGAATTTGAACCAATTGTATGGTATATACAATACCTATAATATACGTATAATGGATTAATGTATAATACTGTACTTATATTGTTTAGTGAGTGCCAATATGTCAGAAACAGTAAAACAGAAAATAATAATACGTTTTTCAAAGTTGTACGATGGACATTTGACCGAAAACAATGAAAGCGTTTAATTTTTTATTCAATAACAGCCAAATAATAGTAGATTGAAAACAAAAATAATGACGAAAATTCGTCAGTATTTTTAGGTAACTTTATTTTATTATAACTAGTATTGGTAGATTAGGTACCTATATCTTTTGGTAATAAATAATAATTTTTACAATAATTATTATGACAATGATAATAATAATATCGCGAAGAATTTAAATTAGGTCTGAAGACACACCCAACTGCGGAATAACGCGATTTGACCATAAATAACGATAACTATATGTATACAAATAGATAGTATATAGTAAAAAAACAGAACAGAAGTATTTTAATATTCGTCGAAACTTACGTACTTGTCAATATCGAGACGCAGATAAATGAAATTTATCTAGATATATATATTCAAGATAATTTCTTCAAATGTATACAGATAGAGATAACAAATATAATAAATTATCTCAAATAAGATAAAAGTTCAGTGGAATTTATGGGGATAATACAAAGATAATTTTTGCTTAAATTTTTGATTGTTCGGAATAATTATGTACCTTAATGCATTATATCTCTTAAAAATTAAAAACCAAATACTCGTTAGCAATTTAAGTATGAAATTAAATTTCACAACGTTTTTCAATTGGGTTGATTTGAACTGAATAATATGGTCTCTCAGTTAATAATGTGAATTGATGTAGTCCGTGTAGTACACGTATTCCACCGTACATAGTTATCTAAAATGTATACCTTAATAATGTATGTGATTTGTATTCCACCGTTCTTTGTGGAATTCCACGTATAATATTATTGTGGTAGGGATTTTCAGAGATGAAGTAATTATTCATTTTTCAACTTGTTATTTTTGGTTCTGACTTTCTGGGGAATGATTGAAATAACGAGAAAGCTTTATGCAACATAATTCATACCGAGAGAAAATGTTCAACGTAAAATATGCTACGAAACACTTAATACTTACGTATTAGTATTAGTATTGTTTTACTTATTATATTCATATATGATTTGTCTTCTCTTTATCTAAACTCGTATTATTTAATAAAAGATATCATTATTTTGGCAAGTATCAGGGTAATCTCTTCAATATGAAGATTTATTCACGGTTATCATATTCCCATGCACGAAAGAGCTTATTTATAGTTCTTAATTTTTTTCCAAGTATTCAAAAGCAAACAAGTGAAATGTTAATTACTTTTGTCGAATTTTACGCGTAAAAGAAAAAAGACTTACTATAGGTACTGTATATTTTATATGTTATTTTTAGACACTTCTAGCGGGTTGTTCTGGACGATCAAACGACCTCAAACTTGGGGACTAGAGTTATTTTATAAGCAGATTGAAGTGAAAAAATGTTAGTAGAAATTCAATATGAATTTTACATGCGACAGGAGATTTTACGGCGTTATGATTCTTTTATTTTAAATTTTTACGGTTTATGTTTTCTATCAGAAATATTGCTCTAATGGAAAAACAAAAAGAGATCTATTTTGGTGAATTTGTAAGCTTGTTGGGGAATAAGAAAGTCGTTTTTCGGAATTTTTGAGTATTTTTATAAATAGTTGGGAAAAACGGGGGGGGGGAGGAAACATAAAAATATAGGGAAAATTTACGAAAAAACTGCTTTTGTTTTCAATTATGTTTTTTTGTTGTAATCCAGTTCAAAATATTTGTGGTGATATAAAATTTTGACAGAAAATTTAAATTTCGCTTTAATAGGTTTGTTCAAATTCTAAAAATATTTGAGTCAGTGATATTTTAATTTTGCGGGGTTTTTTTTACGTAATTTTTATTAGGTATGTACAAAATTGTTTAACCAAACAAAAATGCATGCATGTTTAACAGGAGGTTAATTAAGTTGTACTTAATTAAAAGAATCGAAAGAAAAATTTAGGTGTAATGCAGTATTTTTTTTATAGGAATTTTAACATCAAATTTAGACGAAAATCGTAAATATTACGGCCTTTCAAAATATGTGTAACTGAACTTCGCTCTGAATAGCTTTTCGTTAACAATGGTTTATCGCTGCTTACAGATTTAAATAAAATAATACGTGTCTTGCCTTCCCAAACTCCTACCTACAACAGTGTGACACCCGATCGCTTGTATCAGCTCTATTTTTGTTTTTTATTTTATCTTTTTAAATTACTTATATATGGTTGTTTACAGTTTCTGCATGGTTTACAATATTCCCTTACAATATCGAACATTTGATTTGGATCCTTTTTCCGTTTTCCGATTTGTTTATTGGTCGATAAAATTAAAATGTTGATTTTCCCAATTATACACTGATGTCGATTTCGTTTCTATATTATATTCTGGGTGGTCATTGATATCCTCAATCTAATCGTAAAACACGATTTCAATGATTGAAAACTGTCTAAATGACGTCAGATATTTTATGACAATAAGTCTGAATAAATTTGTTTCAATAAAGTTTATTTTCCGAAAAGAGCATATCCCGCAGACGGTAAAACGAAGATTTCAGATTCTTTTTTTTTTATGTTAACGATTTAATTATTGTCATTTATTTTTTCTCGTGCCCCAACTATCGTTTAATATACATAAATTCGTATTTTGTACATTATCCTAATAATTGAACCGTTCATGCGATTGAACATAAAATATACTTACAAATATCGTTGAAAAATGCATTAAGTATATACGGAAATTAGCGGTTACAGCTACTCAGTGAACGCGTTTCTGAGTTTAAAATTAGTGCAAGTAAAAAATACATCGAGTGATTACGAATATAAACAATTGCAAGCTAAAATCTGATACGGTAGGTATAAGTCGTTCAAAAACCTTTAAATTACCTAACATTTATTTATTTTTAAAATACTATATTCTTGTACCTATAAACTTTTATATAGTATAATACGATAAAAATTAAATTGTTCAAACTATAATAAATACATTTGACACGATACTGAGTTATACTGAAAATTTAAATATAATCAAAGACTACAGTGCGTTTACAGTAGTCATTGTTAACTACACACATTATTTTATTTGATCTTAATTAAAGTTTTAGAGCTACCTATATAACATCTTCATTGCAAATAAATTAACAAGTTTTTGTTGATATTGTTTTTTTTAGGTATCCCAAAGTATTATTTAAATAAAATATTATACCTCGTCTGTGGTTCGTTCTTTATTTATTTTTATTTTAAACAAAATCTTAAGATTCCTTACTTGAATGTCGTTATGCAGAAGGTAACCGTTCCACAAAATAATATTTTATTTGTACTGAATTGAGGTTTTAGTTATAAGCGACTTATGACTTATGAGTCATAACTAATTTATTTAATAAACACGATGTCGGTATATATTTGTATTATTTACAAATATATTATAATCTACAATATTATAGTGCTCTTCAGATCTCGTTTTTCACTAGATTGTTGTATGGTTGATCTTTGCATTTTTGCATAACTCTATTTATTTAATAATACAATATTCAATTTTAGATAAGGTATGTGAAACGTGTAGTATAAAATACGTTGTAATTAATTTACAAAAAATAAACTGAAATATATGGTGTGTTCATTTTTCAATAAAATAAATCTGTACGGATAAATTTGACTTTTAATTTATTTTTATAATGAACATTTGTAAAATTATGCGAGTTTCCCGTCAGCTAGCGTGTTATTAATTTGGACATTTTATGTAAACCTTTTGAAAATCACCTCGAAACGCATAATATAAATTGCAATATAACGTTTTATACTTACTCGTTTAATATTATATTTTAAAAGGATGTTTATAAACACCGGATACTTGTTTAAACGATGCCCTCGATAAATCCCATATCCATTGTAATTTACATCAGTAACCTTTTCATTGTCCGATCTGTTTAGTTCTTTTGTTGGGGAAAAAAAATAAAAGTATAGCTTATAATCTTAAACGTACCTAATTAAATGATGCGTATGTACAAGATCATAAATTCATTAAAACCCGGTAGTGAAAATTCGCCATAATTGAATTTCTCTGAATTTATTTCAGGAACAGTATTTAATATGATGCCGTCACGTTTATATTAAAACTATTATAAATAAAACGGATGGACATAATTCGCACGTGGGTGCAGCCACTGTTGTAGGTGAGAAGTTGGGAAGATAGGATACAGAAGGGAATTTAATGTATATTTGTAAACAACGATAAACCATTGTTAACGAAAAAAATATTTTGAGCGGAGTTCAGTTGATATAGTTGCTTTGTCAACAATATATTATGGTAAAATAATTACAATAATATGTGTTTCCATGACAATAATGATTGTTTAAAAAAAATTTTAAATAATAATAACAAAAAATAAATATAAATGATTGCCAATGACAACCGTTTTTCAATTTTTCAATCTTTTTAATCTAAAAAACCGGGTTTTCCTAATTATCTCGACTATTTTGAGAATTTCAAAAAATGGCCTCTTTAAATTATCCCCTAAAGAACATTTTCTTTCAGAAAAGGTGCTATACTGCTATACTTGATAATCGGAGTAAGCTTTCTGTTTGAAAAAGTTTTTACATAAAAAGTAAATATTTTTGTAAAACCAATACATTCTCCGCTAAACTCAGAAATAGTAGAAAACGAAATAGTTTTTTCACTAGATCTACTGTGATTATAATATTCATAATAGGTATATACACAAAAGCATATTTAAAATTTACACAGGTTTGGGAATTGGGTTGTGGGGGAACTCTACCAAGAGCACAGTTGTCGGCAGGTGGTGCGGATTTTCCAATGTGGTAACTTACTGGTTATTTTGTGTGTCGGGTTTTGTCGGTATACGGAAGAAAATTTATCCAATGCTAGCCGTGGGTCTGATTTATCGGATACTTGAAGTGAATTCCAACTGAGTTTAACTATTTTCGGTTATTTGGAAGATGGCGAGACCGGTGTAGGAAGTCGTTGGCTGTTCCTCGAGAAGGTACGAGTCGTGATAGTGAAGTCGTCGCTCCGTTGGCTTCTAACATTATTTGCCCAAGTGTTGTGTCATTGATCGGGCGATTTGTCTCTTTTTGACTCATCCTGTTCCTATGTTCTCTCTGGCGTCATTTATGCGATGTCAGGGTCGTCTCATTTGATGGGTTTTAGCAGAGCCCTTGCTAATTTCGGCCCGTTTAGGACGTTCTGTCACAATCAGAACGGTTTGGAAGCGATTTCTGTTTGTCCATGTCATCGTCTTCACAATCGAATCTGTGTAGTTTATGGGAAATCATGTTCACAATACATAGGATATTTTCAAATACTCGTATTTTATTCTTTTTTTCATTTAAAAATTATGAATAGATTATGGGTCATTATATTAAAATTCTAGAATTTCACCTATATTGGAATAAATACTATCATCAAACGAATAAAAGTCGAAGCTATTTTATATTTTGGATTGTCTAGATAATATTGTAAAAGCAATATACAGAAATTTATATTAAAGACGTGTTTTCTTAGGGCCAAAGAGTAATAGCCCAAAGACAAGCCCTTCGAAGTTATAATCCGGCTATGGAAGTCTACAACGTCGTTGTTTTAAATGTTTTCTTTTGTCACTTATTTTCTCTTGTTGAAATATCTAAAATACATTTCGTTTTACGAACGCGACCGGACCGGTCGGCTACATTGTAAAATCACATTACGAAGTACATGCTGTACATATATATTATTACATCAAGGATAATCCAAGTATTTTCGAAAAATGTTTAAAACTGTACTGGCTTAAAGTGTTTTTCCCTTTAAGTAAGATGTACAGAATTAAAATTTAAACAAATAATTCCTATATTCTACGCATTCCAAAATAGAGAACCTAACGAATATCATATTTGTGTAATAATATGATTCAAAATTTAAATCCATCAAACGAATTTCCCATATATTTATGTCTGGATATTCGGACTAAAACGTCGTATACAAACGACAATCCTCTTAAATGGGAATCGGGCAGTAGATGATTAGTGGAAAAGTCTTCATTAAAATATAAAAAAAAAAGACGTTTTAAAATTTTACGAACTTGGAAAGATTATGGAAAACCGTCACCGATCCGATCCTTAAGTGTATCGAGTGCGTTTTGCCGTTTTCATGTCGACCGAGTCGATATTACATATTTTACGATATCGCGTTTATAATCCGTTCCGGAACTTGAATTCCTACATTATTTGTCTGGCGGCTTTTCTCAGACGTCATATTCGTCCGGAAAACCGGCTGTACCTGCAGTGGAAAAGTCATTTCGTTCGAATTCCATGTGATCGCAGACAATTCGGTAAACCGTCTGCATTAATCCGCCCCCTTAAGTGCGCGGCGGGGCGATTAATGTACGTTCGCACTAGAATTATTCAATTCAAATATTTATGCGCGACGAACGCGATAAACGAATTAATTTATTAATATAATACTATGTACAGATTATATTATACTGCACGAGCCAAATAAGGCGACGCGCTAAATGTCGTACGGAAAATAATAATAATAATAATAATAATAATTTCGAAACTTTCGAGTGCGTAACGTAAACAACTGCAACTGTATAGCGGTTCCGCTGCAGTGCGTTAAAAAGTAGTCTGCGCCAATTATATATTATTATACTTTATTAAAGCGATGACGTCGTGAATTATAATATGTACCGAAAACATAATATTGTTTTAAAAATTTACGACGGAAACGATATTAAAACGAGAAAGTTTTCTACTATCATTATTATTATATATAACTAGTTAAGCGGGATATATCATTTTTCCATTTTCTTTTATATTTCCCGTCGTCAACGCCGCACGGAGCGCAGCCCTTCCGGAGTTCTGCGTTATTGAAAATGCTCGCAGAAATTAATATTTACATTTCGTAGAATCAATTTAAATAATATACTTTCCGAAGTGAAATTTAAATAAACGTTGTAGGCATGACGTACTCGTACAGTTTAAATATATTTATATATATTTATATGTCCCGGGTAATTATTATTGTTCAACGGCTACATAAATTACCATAACTTATTATTTGAACGATACAATTTTTTTTTTTTTTAAATTTGATTACTGTACACGTACATTTTTCATCATTTTATTGTAAAAAATATGAATTTCATCAGCAAAAAGTATATTGTTGCATTACGGTACCCGTGCATCGTGCTCACGACATTATGCTCTTATTTTTTTTAATACTATGCACCTACGCGGTTATACGTCTACTTGTAGTCACAGTATGAAAGTACGTGTTGAATTTAAATCGAATATTTCTGACCGCTGAGTACATACAAATTATACGCATTTAAAAATTTACTCTCTGTGTACAGCTTAGTGGACATATTTAAATACAATTTAGAGTAATGCTAAACAAACGGACATACTTCGCCACTGTTTTAGATGAGAAGTTAGAAAGGTAGAGGGGGAATTTATTGTATATCTGTACACAACGATTAATCTCTGCTAACGAAAAACGATTCTGAGCGGAGTTTAGTTATGTATGTTTTGAAAGGCCGTAATTTTTACGATTTGAAAATAATACATTTCATTCATTTTCTCGTTTTTCCGACGTTTTTCTCTGTTTATCCCATTTATAAATCAAAAAACCTTCTTAAAGTACCACCCTAGTTGCAGGAAAAAGGCTACGTTTGAAAATCAGAGCAAAGTTTCTGGTAGAAAAGTTGTTCACAGAAAAAAAAATAAACATCATTGTAGCCGTTTCATATAGACTATGTGACATAGAATGGTTAAATAGTATTAAAAAAAAAAAAAAACACGTGGTGAAAGACAAGAACTAAATTAAATTTCTCTATTTTGGTATTTATCCATATTCTCGAGGTTCAATAAATTTTTCATTGATCATGATATTATCACTATAGCATTTCGTGTTTTTAATCGACAAAAATATACCACGACTACAGATATCAATATTATATCGTACTTGCACATTTAAATTTATTTTGGACAATAATAAGAGAAATAATTCAAAATAAAAAAAACAAATTAAACTCAAAACGTTTATTTTATAAAATAAAGTTTGATACATTACGCGCAACTTTTTTTTATCATCAAGTATAACTGATGATGAATCTTGTGTTTTCAATCGTTTTAGAAAGCCCAAAACAATTTTATTAGCATAAAATTAACGAAAAAAAAAAACAAAAACTCGAAAGTGATAAATGCCTATAAACAGCTTAAAAATCTTTAAAACATTTTAAAAATTTTACTATATCTAGAAAAGGCCATCATTAATATTCTGTGAACGTTTCAGGACTCTAAAAACATTTTTTTAACCGAATCACAATAAAATAAAAACAAAAACGAAAAATATGAAACCATTATTGCCGTAAACTCTCCCGTTTTTCTTAAGTTTTTCCTGGGTTTTCTCAATTAATAGGAAAACGACAAAAACAACCTTTTTTTACAAATACTAGATAAAATTTTCTTTCAGAAAATATACTACTCTTACGAATTGGAACAATATTTTTTTGAAAAATTAAAAAAAATCACATCACAGTAAAACCAATATATTACTCCCTGCGCTCAGAACCTCCCTATCCAAAAAAAAAAAAACCTAATTAAAATTTCAGTTTCGTAGGAACTGCAAGGGGTATCAAATTATGCGCTCTTATTATTCAAATTGTACATATTCGCATGTTAAACATAGTTTAACATAATATTATTATAAAATATCATGGGTAAATGCCATCGCTCCTGTAAACTGTATAACGAAATGTGATTTAAATTATAAACGGTATTGCGATGTTTCATGAGCATTAAAATTTCGTAATTATGAATTTAAACCGCGAAAAATTATAAATTCCATCGTTTGAACGGTACCTATATTATTATGTTGTATCGTTTTTGAATATTGTAGTAAAATATTTAAATTTTAATACTGCGTTCGGCGTGTATATCGATTGAGTAAAAAAATAAACCTAAAACCCAATGGGCGTCGTTCGATATTATTATAATATATTATGCGTATTTAACTATATCGTACAATATTATAGTGTAACCTGCACCGCCAAACCGTATCGGCTGATAGTAAACATTGTTCATGTTTTGCGGTTATATCTTACGCAAAATCAAATCAAAACTTTTCTCATATTATTTTACGGACTATACAATAACAATATTCTATTACAATATCAGTAACAATCGGTACGCGCAGTATTATACGCATGCACATAAATACTTGTATCTATACAGAGTGATTTTATTTAATTTTTAGGTTACGAGCGGAGCGTGGAATGTAATGGTTTTATTATGATGTTTATTTTAATTTTTATTTCCTGTGAACAACTTTTCTACCAGGAATTTTACTCTGATTTACGATGATAGCACTCTTTTTTTGAAAGGGTATCTGACTGGGGAGGTACTTTAAGGAGGTTGTATTTTTATTTTCTCAGGAGGTTTCTCAACAAATAGGAAAATATGGAAAACTGGTAGGAAAAATGAGAAAATAGTTATAATATTAAACAAATATTATGAAAGAAAATATATAATGCACCGAACTCCGCTCTAAGCAATCGTTACTTAGAGATTTTCATTAAGTTACCTATAACAGTGGATGTATCCGTCCCCGTTATCCTACGATAGTTTTTTTTTTTTTTTTTTTTTTTTTTTTTTTTTTTTTTATCACAATACAGCAATTATTTACGAATATTTCGAGTAAAATCAAAATTTACCATCAATTATAGACTTGTTTAATGCGATCTTATTTTCAATATTTTCAATGTTTTACCTTAAGACATTATCGCATAAACGCACACATACATATACACACACCTATCAACATTTCAAACTACATTCGAAAAGATAATATTTTCCTATACAGATTTGATTATACCGTTTAAGTGTTTGGTGTGTTTATGTACAATTTGTTATTGCCCATTTTCACGGTCTACTAAATTTTAAAAACTCATAAACGGCATGTCCGATAATGTATTACTAAGCGCGTATGAAAACGTTAAGAAAAATATGTTTATTTTTCCAGGTTTGTTTGTTGAAAAGGGCCGGATGAGGGTGCTGTTATCTGAAAATCAAAAGTTAATATACGCTAGCGTTTAATAAGGTATGTTCCCATAATAGTAACGAGTACGCGGGTAACGATTTGAAAATGGCGTTAAAACACAGCTTTTAAACAGTGTCATAATCAGTAGCGCCGAACCATGTTTTAAGAAGCTGGTCAGGTGGAAATTTGTATAGACCACCACCCTCGTTTACAAAACAAACTCTCATACAAAAGTCTTAATTAATAATGCCGTACCCGTCAATTCGATAAAAAAAAAAATAATATGGCTCAGGTACCCATAATGTGTTCCACCACCACCCAATAAAAGAATGGTGGTGGTGGCCACCCTTGACTGCTGGTTTTAGCGCTACTGGTCATAATATGATGATTGAACACGTAAGAAATCGTGAGTGCTCATAGAAAATCTTGCGAAAACATCGCTGGATTGTGATAAAAAAAAAAAAAAAAAAAAACAATTAAAATTGGATCCGTTTAATATTTAGACTTTTTTCGAATATTTACCCGAACAATGTATGTAGGGGGAAAGAAGAGAAATTAATCGTGCGCGTGTGCGAATTAATATTTTATTTTCACGTCGTCGGTGCACTACGCGCGCTCTGTATACGCCTTTAAGTATTACAATCGCTCAAGTCTGAACGCCTCCCATATACGGTACGCATGCAATATGTATACGTGAACTCGTGTGCGTATATACGAAAACGTTTATGCGAATAAATAAACAAGTACCGGCATATATGTACGCGATACATATTTTACGATTGTGTCGTTTCGCGAAAAAAAAAAAATAGAGGTATTTGGCGGCGTGAGAGATAGAGAGAGAGAAAAAGAGAAAAAGACAGGCTCACACATTCGGAGGAATTGGACACGCTAGAGGCGAGACGGTCATTCGGCCGTATAAAAACTTGTACACCGTCAACAAATACGTGCCATTTTGATTATTTACGATTTATGTTTGAAAAAACAAAAAAAAAGAGATAAATGATTCATCTGATGTCCGTATCCCGTATTAAATATCGGTTGTAGAACACTACAGACTATAATACTCGTATATCGTAATAATATGTGCACGAATTGCGGGGAAAGGGGAAACATAAGAAAAATTGACGAATTTACGACCCAATTTAGCGGTTTCATTATTTTTAGTTTGTTTTCGTAATTCGGTTAAAACATTTTCTGAAGATTTATGATTTTACTTGGCAAAAAAAAAAAAAAAAAAAAGTTGAGCGTATTATGGTAGTTTTTCTTATACGTTTTGTCGAGGTCAAATTATGTACGAAATTTCAAAACACGTAAAACCGATTCGCTCAGAATCGTATGTCGATAGGTTTAATTTATCGACGGGTGTAAATATAAATTAAATAGTTTTGTGATATACTATCTGCCATCTATCTACCCAAAACCACTGTTCCCAACACATCCCTCAACAGTAACCAATATTTTCTTGTTTTTATTATGATGTGTGTGATTTTTTTTTTTATTTGATTTTCGATCAAATTAGTACACTAACAGAATGTCGTTTATTGGTTTTCCAAGCGGTTTTCATAATATTTGGAAAAAACTGGGAAAAATTGTGTAGGAAAATAGACGATTATTTACGGCGCTACGTAAATACGTAAATACGCCACGGCATTACGATTTCATTATTTTAATATTTTTAGATTTTGTGTTTTTACGTGAAATTTTATTCATAATTTCATTAGTAGCATTTTTTTCGAAATCAAATTGTTTTCAGTTTTTTTTCTTTTCTTTGCGTATGCCTAATACTGAATCGAAATTCCGCTCCACGTAAATATCCGTGTGATCAAACGTTGTAATATTACGTTATGTTTGCGCTTATTGTAAGATTATACAACTGTTACTGTAAACATCAACTGAATAATATATCCGAAAAAGGTATTTCTTTCTTCCCGACGTTGTCCAAGAGACGCGTATAACTAGGTACAATATTATTATATTATTTGCTTTTATTATAGTTTTATTCTACTGCAACGTAACTACATACGGTCCTTTTGTCTGGTTGATTATTAAATTGTACTTATACGAATCGCGCAAACAGATATTTGCCCGCATTCAATAAGAATAAAAGTTCCTTTAAAATAAACGTTTTATATTTTCGTAGCCAATATTCCTTAGGAAATCTATAAAACAAAATACTTTTTGCATCATTAATAAAAATATAATTTCCAATAATTCCGGTGCCCAGTACACTGTGATTTAGCAAAATAAATCACAAAAAGTTTTTAAATTTTCAACCATAAGTTTAGAACACCGTACATCCACATTGTACCTGTCCGTCCTTACGGTTACTAATGCACAGTTACGGCTGTTGATCGGATTAACAAGGAGATAAACAATATTTGCAACCATATTATTAATTTATACATAAAATAGCTAATCCGGCAATGTTTTTCTATAAGACAATAGTGTAAATAATAGTAATAATAATAATCATAATTGTTTTCTTGTCCATCACAACCAAATTATCGATTCGAATTGATAAATCGAATACCGATGCATTTTAATATCAAATTTTGGCGAAAACCGTAACATCATATACTTTCAACATATGTATAACCGAACTTCGTTTCGAATCATATTTCGTTACCGATGGTCTATCGTTACCTACACATTTGAATTAAATAACTTTATGTATTCTACCTTCCCAACTTCCCACCTACAACAGTAGCACGCCCGTTCCCAGTTATCAGCTTCTTTTTAGTATACGAATATCGAGAAGATTGATGACCGTTTTCCAAATTTTCACCAGTTATGTAAAATTGTCTAAATTTAAATGACCACCTAAACGTTCTAAACAATAAGATTCCGATTCGTTTACTGCCCGATAGCCACCTTAAGAGAATATGTGGGATATTTTTTACCGGCGAATATCATTTAAGACCGAAAAATCAATTAAAACTGTCAGAATTGCGTTTTATTTTTGAATCGTACTTAGGTTTTTTACTAAAACATGTTAGATTTTTTTTTTAAATTTAATTTCTCTTTATCGCATATAAAAAAATATAAAAATACACTCAAATTGTTTTATTATTCCTAGTAAAATAATTACATTTGTATTTCTAATATAATATCCAAGTGAAAAACCTAAAGATCCATAATCCGTTTTCAAAATGGAAAATGTCGTTAAACACAACTCTTACAGATTTATCAGGCTTTTAGGTCTAAATTGACTAAAACGTATACCATTAAAAATTTATAATCTTCTTAAATATATACTCATACTAGCAAATATGAACAAATATATGTACCGACATATAAGTAGTACTTAATGAATTTGAGAAACGTCCAGTCAACTATTAATGACAAATAAAGATTTTTAATTTATTTTAGTTTCTTCACAATATAAGTACAATAATATACTAGGTTAACTATAAATTCGGGAACTTCGCATGCTCGCAGAATGGGCTTTCCTAACTTGAATGTTTTTATAATTATTTTTTTGTTCAAAACGTTATTAAACCGTTATATTTTTTTTGATAAATTAATACACTTTAATTACTGACGACATTCTATAGCGGAGTTCTATTATTATTGCGGAGTTGTATTGAATCGTATCTATATTTTTAACCTTATTTTTATTATTCTCAAAAAAAAAAAAAAAGAACTCATCCGGATGAAACCCTATTTACATTGCTAATGATTTCGAAAAAAAATATAAAAAATGATAGTTCCAGGGGATTTAAGATAAATTGCTTTTATGTCATTTTACATAATTACACAATGCAGAGGCATTCTAAAACTGTGCAGGATATCCCGTTGAATAATCGAATTAGAAAATTCACTTCAGACGGCTTATAAGCAATAATATAATAAAATAATATAAATTTAAATTGTCGAGAAACGACTAAATTGAACTTTTTATGCAGTAGCGGTAGGTATACGTATATAATATTATAATGTATACAGCATAAGCACGCGCACCCTTCATTTTCGGGCGTATCTATAGTATTATGAGATCAAACGGCCACATTTTCTCGTTTATTCTTACCGGAAAGCCTTTACATAACAATCATGATATATAGTCGAATCGTCGAAACTTTTTTTTACATACTTACATAGATAATATATTATGAATATCGTTTGAAAAATATACAGCGATAAACGTCGATAAATTACATAAATAATCCGATTAATCATATGTGTGTATTCTATGAATTTACAAATTGGAAAAATCGTTTAGATTTTCAATGTAACACCGGAGAAGCTGTTATAGCATGCATGACAAGTGTGTGTGGTTTTTTCTCGGAAAACACTTTTTCAGTTAGTGCAAATACTCCGATTTTTTCACGTCACACCTCTTAAAGATGCGGTTTTTTTGTCCGATGATACGTTATTTGAAATATTTTTCGAAATTCCTAAACAATTTTCCAAAAAATCGCTTTTTACGTTTGGTTTTTTTTTTTTCAACTTTTTCGGTTAGGCAAATGCTCTAATTAGTCCATGCCAGTAACCTTGAAAAATGCGGAAGTGGGTGTTAAAAAAATAATAATTTCCAAAGTACTCGACGACACGCAATATAATACACTTTAAGTATCGAAATACCTAATTGTGACCAATGTACCTACACGATCATATTGCAAATCAAAATATTCAGAGCGGGTATTTACAAAAAAAAAAAAAATACCTATATAATAATACAATACATATAATAATAATATTATTCAAATTATATACTGTACTCTGTTCGAGTATACTTTTAACAGACGCCGTGTAGCAGCGTTTTAAGTATTACCCACCTAGCTACCTAGTAAATAGTAGTGCGTGTGGTGCCTGCGCTCGAACATAACGTCTGCGGGTCTGGGACCTCGCGAAATGTTGGCCCGGAATAATTAGGGAGCCGCGAGCTATAGATGTGGAGGTAAAACTATACCGCGTCGCCGTAGGAACAATTATTATTATACAGGGTGATTGTGGATGCGTCGGTGGAATACGCGGTTATACGAGACATAATACACATTGAGTCTAGAGGAACACGACGTGCTATTTAAGTATAATATACCGTGTTTTCCTGGTTCTAATATCTTTGTTATTGTTCAAATTTTTTTTCACGGAAAAATTGGTGAATCGTTTGATATTTCTTAGTCACTGGCAATGAAAATAATATTTAAATTATCATAAACTTCAAAAATGCGTAGACGATTCGTGAAGAATCACTAATCGTTCGTAATTATTGTAACAAGAAAAACTTAAAAATATTAAACAGAAAAGTGTTATTGAATTTTTCAGATCTCTGCGGATCTGTTTGTGTTATGGAGAACAATTACGTTTTTATTTTCATCTCTAAATTACTAAAAACTACGTTTGTTCAATTTTAAAATAGCCACTTTCTAATAGAAATTATTGTAAAAAATTTAGCGCATCAAGCATATTACATATCCTATAACAAAAGATTTGAAGTAATAGCCGTTTAAATGTCTAGTAACGATGTGTATAGTGAAATTGGTTACGGAAATAATTTTTATTAATTTCATTATTACTTTGCTACGGTTTATAAATTCACCATCACGTAATACAGTACTACTTGTCAAAAAATTAAAACTGATATTAGTGAGAAACTAATTACCTGATTTGTATCTTGTATAGGATAAATTAAAACGTCTACAAAAATGTCTCTTACAAATTGGCTACCTAGGTATTGTTCAATAGCTACTGAACAATTCTTAGATATGATTAACAATCAAAAAGTTATTTTTTTTTTCTAATGAGTAAGTGGTGAAATACCTATTTGATATTCCCTAGGTATACAATATGTGCCCAGAGGGGAGAACCCCCACACAAAACCCTGTTGGAAAAATACAACAAATTTAATATCGGCAGAGATATTAACACCGGGAAAACATTGCTGAGCACTGTGTGTATAAAATTTATCATTTAAAAAACGTCCTAAGACAATAGGGATGTTCAGCCACTATTATAAATAATTTATTGTATACCTGTAAGCAACGATAAACCATTGCTTACGATAAAACGATTCTGAGCGGAGATCAGTTGATAGTAATGCTTTGTCAAAAATATAAATGCCAAATTATTGTAAAATAATTAAATTAGCTTTATACAATTTCTTTGATAATATGTGTTATACGATTTCCCAGGTTTTACCATGTTTTTTCGCGATTTTATTAAATTTGCTGGGAAAACTCATGAGAAAATAGAAAAGGGTTCTTTAAAGCATCTCGCTAGTGAAATTGCCTTTTAGAAATAATGCTCTCATTAAAAGTTGGAGTGAAATTGATGGTAGAAAAGTTGTTTAAAAGAAAATAAATTAGGAAAATTATATTTATTATGTTTCGTAAATTTTCCCGATTTTTTGGTTTTTCGCATTTGATGAGAAAACTCTTGAGTAAATCGGAAAATAACCGGTTCATGCTCCTCATGCTGATTTCCTTTGAAAAGGTACGACACGTAGAAATCCGAGGAAGTCTTCTGGTAGAAAAGTTGTGCAGAGATAAAAAAATAAAAATAAATATCTTTATAAAACTATAAGCTTCTTTGCTCCACTCAGAATCTAAAATAAATAAGCAAATTTTATCCTTCTCTAAATTCTCTTCAAATTCTCTTGGTCTAAATTTTTAACTATTATAATTCATAAACGGTAAGTAAGATATTAATGTTACGCGTATCAAAATGTTCGCAGTGAAACAATCACTCTGTATATACGAGAAATGATCTTCGCCACCCCGCAAAACGAATCGAATCAAGCGAGCGCGGTTGTCCCCCTCCTTCTCACCTTACCGCACTACCGGCGTAGCGCTAGGTCACCGCCGCCGTCGCCGTCGCAGAGAGACCCCCAAGTTCGGGGACAAATTAATTTCGCCTCACTCCGGGCCCGCTCCAATAGTTCCCCCCAATTTACACCCCTTCACCCACTCCTACCTATGCTGGCACCCGCCGACATAATATACACCTCGGGTGAATTGTTTAATTATTCTCTGATAATAATAATTATAAACGCGCGATAAATTATTCAGTCGCTCGGAGGTCCGTATACTCGTACATGTATATATATATATATATATATATGTAAACGCACGATGTTATTATATACAAATAAACAATATATATTATGTATTTTAAGTATATTATTTGTATTGTTTTACGTAAACTTTCGTAAATTTCGACTTTTGTAACGTCGTCCGCGCCGTCCGCGACCGTAAATATACAATTATTATAATACAGTGCGTTGAAGCGAATGCGTTTTATGTTTTCGTTTTTTTTATTATTATTATTTTATTTTATTTTTTTCGTTTTTTATTTTCTTCACTTTGATCGTTTGTGTGTATGAAAAACGATTTTAGATAATAATACGGTACGATATCGGTTTGCAGTTTACACGGCGCTGTACACGGTCGAAAAGGCCGCATAATAACGGCTCCTATACTTAAGCGGCAATAATATTTATTTATTGAAATACAAACGGATTCAACACAACTAGAATGTGTCGCAACCAACGTGTTTGAACAAACGGTTAATTGAAATCGGGCATTAAAAACGACAGTGAAACTATTTGAAAAAAAAATACATTCCCACCGACGGCAATACATGCGCTACATAACTATGCAGTTAATGAGGGACGGTGGGTCCTCGTTGGTCAGTTTCATCATTTCGCATCATGGAGATTATTATAATTTTTTTTTTTAAGTAGTAACGAACACGATGAATGGGAATAGGAAAGGAATGGAATTTGCCGAATGTTCTGAGTAGGAACAAGGAAATTGACAGCGTATTACAGGAACGTCAACATTTGAATCGATAATTTTCGACAAAGACACCAGATTACTCCAGATTATTCAAGGGCGCGAATAACAGAGGAAAATTGATGACATTAGATTTTCAAAACAAATGCACGAAACTCGACGAATTTCCGTGGGACACGCTGAAGCCGACACTTATCAGTCACAAACCATTGCGATCAAAAAATGATTTTGGGTGGAGCCCGAATTGGTAAAAAATAAAACCGCAATATATCGACAATAATTATTATCACTTTTCAAGTTGCTACACATCAGTTTGTACACCTTATATTCCCGTATCATTACTAGTATAAAATTTATTTTTTATTTGGCTGACAAGGAAATATATAGGTAAGATAGTTTTAATACGTTTTATTTAATTATTTGTTTATTCGTGGGTTACCATGTTGATATGGATGAAATAATAAAAAAATTGGCTGGGACAACGTCGGACAGCATAGCTAGCGGTAGGGTTTTCGATATGTTTGGAACGTAATTAAATTTTATTTGTTGATTTATATGTTCGCTTAGTGACAGGGATGATAATTCGGTTATAACTGATAAGAAAACTATTATTATTATTAATATTGTTTAGCAATAGCAAAACATTGCAGGGTCAGCTGGTGTATGAATATAAAATATTAGTTGTATACTGTATATTTATACCGATCAATATTAAGAGAATAGGTATCCACCGAAATATAAGTACTTATGAGAATTTTGAAACGTCTTGACGGTTTGTCAGAAATCGGTGTATTTAATTTTTTTTGGTGTCTACGAATCAAACCGCGTTTAGATATGTTTTGTGTGAATTTATGCCGCGGAAATTAATACCGAACCAATTTTTAACCCGGTTACTTATAGCTGTTATACCTTATATACATGTGCATCGCCTTATTTATATGACCTACATTTATGCCGTATTTCGAACCGTCGTTGCCGTTGTGCGCCGATAATTTATATCCGTTCCTATGTTTTGGTTTTTATTCGTACTAATGCGTTAATGCGTTTTCAATCGCTATACGTATATTGGTGTGGCGAATCATCTTCGAAATTCCAACAACATTCTGTCAAACCATTACGTTTTATCTATTATTCCGATTGTGTTTTGTGTTTTTTTTTTTTTCGTAACTCGACCGAAAGTGCCCATACCGAACGCTAAAGTGTCCACTGTGCCAGGCACTGAGTTATTTCGCGTGCGTGTCTTACGACGCGTGCGGCAAATTAGTCGTTTTATACCTACGAAAACGATAAAACGATAATAATAATAATAATAATAATAATAATAATCCAAATATTATAATAATGTCTCGTCGTATACGGACCTAACAGTCGCATAACGCGAGGTTTTTCTTTTTTCGTTTCCCCGTCTATTGCATCGTAAAAATTATACCGGTCAACGGCCGCGAACGTATTCGCGATAAAACACAGACGCGACCGCGTGTCAGCGTTATGAATATTATTACGAGTCGTTTCTATATTATAATGACGTTGATTTATCGAATTCTCCATACGTAAACGATATTTTATCGTATTTTTTTCTACGTGACGGTCATTTAGGATCCATATATGCGCGTGAGCTTCAGGCTTGTGATTCTTTCTCACTATTAAACATCACGAGAAATAGATGTTGGATGATTATTGGTAGGATCGTTACAGTGGTGCGATCAGGATTTATTTTCGGAAGGGGTTTTATCAATTTGAAAAAAAAAAAATCAATTTTGGCTGGTGTTTGGTGGGGTAGAGAGGGTAAGGTTTAATTAGGTTTATGAATAAAATCTTTAAATTGTTAATTTTCATTTATAGACAACGCATATTGGAAAACAATTTAGACTCATATTGATTATGCATTCAAATATACTTTACTCGTAAGTACGCGGTGGGCCATTTAAAAATAATATCACGTAAATGGTCGCCTTCAGAGCGAATGGCGTAATGTGCTTATTTTTGGGCATTTCCCATCACTTTTCGAAGCGTTTCAGGCCGAATAGCGGCCATTTCCTGTAATATATTATCTATTAACGCTTCAAGGGTCCGTGGCTTCTCGACATAAAATCTAGACTTTAAATAGCCATACAGGAGAAAGTTTGGTCGCCGACAGGATTTTGTATTCCGAGTCGAACCCTGCAGGTGAGAGTGGGGAAGTTCGGGCGCTTTTGGGCTTTGCTGCAGCTCACCGGACACGATAGTTGATATTGATATTTGCGGTTATTAGACACAATCGCATGCATTTTTTTTCATTATTGCAAATCGGCTATCTAAAATATGCCAACCGGTCAACGACCGTAAACGTAAATACGACAAAACAAATTCGAATGTCAGCGATACGACGAAGATACGCAGACGTTCGGCACTCGAATATTATTATGATAATCTTATACGGAAAATTTCGAGAGAAAGAATAATTGAGGGAATGAGCAATTCCTATGCGATGTGTACTTACGTATATACGCAAACAGTTCATTTGAATCATTTTTTTTTTTCAAAGTTTACGCTGCGGTCAGCTAGCGTTGCAGTTATTTTTTTATCCCTGTTTATTTAGCTGTCGTGGACACATTATTAATATTGTTTTCGTGTATATAACTGTAACAATTGTTTTATTGTTCAATAAATTATACTGTTAACCCTTTAAATTAAATAGGTAGGTACCCTATATTTATGGTTAATACAACATGTAAACTGAATGAAATTTCGTTTTTTCCAACGCGAATAAAATGGTTTGGGTTCTATTTGTAGGTACCGGGATATTATTAAATAAGACCCACTTATAAATATAAATCATAAACATTCTTCAAGTACCAGCTTATCCATACCTACCCGAGAAATCACAAAGCTACAATAGGTAATTTAAGTAAATAGGAATAAGTAGTAGGTGTATAAATCAAGGGTCTATGTGAAAAGGGCCCGTCCGAAAATTCCCGGTGCCCCGGCGGGTCAGTACGCGCCCGGTTTGATGAATAGGTACTCTTATTGAACAAATAGATATCAAAATGCGATAATTATATTATTATTATTATGCTATACGTATAGCAGACAAATACCTTCATAAAGTATTATCGATAAACAATCAATGAAATCGCTTTCGTACTCGACAAACGCGCCGAGTAAAAAATTTGCTCACATTTGAAGGACATCGCGTGTAAGATGAATTATAAGAAAATCATAAACACTGGTATAATAATTTATCTATACGTATTTACTTTGCTTTAGCGATATTCGGTAGATTATTTCTCCTATTATACATGTTGTAATGTTGAATATTCAATTTGACGATGCGACGTCTGATATCGCACAACAATAATTTACATAAAATAATATAGGTACTCGTAAACTCGGTTTCCCGTTTATTTTATTTTAGAAACCCGCCCCGCACATCGCAGTTGACGTAAATTAATTGTAGTCATAAACGTCTTAGAGCTTAGACTAAAATAATGTTACAAAAACGTAACGGCGAAACTAATAGTATTCAGCTGCGTGGTGTTACGTTATGAGGTTTCCTCTACTTCTGTTCATCCTTTTAAATGTGTGTATTATTAATATTATTTGTGTTTTATTTTTTGTTGAATTTTCCCCGAAAAAATAAAATATTGCGCACACGTATTTTGTATATTTTTGTCGTTTTCTAGTTACGTTACTTTTGAATATTTTTAGTGGTCGCCCCGGACCGAACGAACACAAATTCAGAAATTAGTGTATTGTTTTATAGGCGATAACAAGAATTGAGTTGAATTTCAATCCGAATTTTAGCTTCGTGTTGTGGGAGGGATATGTTTTTTTAGCTTTGAAAACACATAATCGGCCCCCCCATCCTAAATGAAACTAGGAATATGTAAATTGTGCATATACGTTTCGCGTTAATGTCAAGAATGTGCCCCTTTTAGTGTTTCGACTTTAATCACTCGGCTTTATAATTTTTAAGCGGAAAATATTATAATCTTTTTTGAAAATACAGTATAGTAAATAGTATTGTAATATTAATTTACAGTATTTGGTTGTTTATACTTCAGTTATTTGTTTTACGAAGAATATTTCTATAATAATACAAAATTGGTTGGGGAGAGGGAGGAAGAATTTGACTTAATAGCGAAGAGCTAAGCTGCTCAATCACAGAGACTTGAAATTCTTATAGAATAACAAGGCCGATATCGCGCCAAGCGTTTAAATAACCGCAATTATGTCTGATCTTTCGCTATTGGCTAACGATAATAGTTACTAATTAGCGCCGTCCGAGGCGTTCGTACAACAAGCTGATCAGAGAACAAATACTTACCACAAGTTGGTCGAGAAGACGTCGATACCTATAACTCCGGCCCCTATATGTATATGAATCACCGTAGCCGACCAGAGCAGAGTATTTGTTGGTACCGTGGTGTCTAGCATACCACAGCACGTTGCGATAGACGTGTTGGCTGGCAGCGCGCTCTATGCGTAATATACGGAGGGACCGCGCTCTCGGAACGGTTGATTTAATCGCGTCGGTGTCGGCGGGGCGTCCGCTGTGTATTATGATTTATGTTGCACGGTACCGGCAGAACTGTTCCGTTACAAATAGTCATTTTTGTTACATTCGATTTCGATCACTTGTTACGATAATTATTTTGTGAAAACGTTTAAAATATTATCATTGAATATATTATAATTTATAATAATATAGTCAATAGTATTAAAATATTGTGATATTATACCATGTATAGATATATACGTGGTATAATATGGTGTATGGTAATATAATTATGTAAACCAATGATATTACTTTTTATATATAAAATCTTAACATCTTATATATAAAATTATCGTGTCACAATGTTCGTTCCCATACTCCTCCGAGACGGTTTGATCGATTATCATGAAATTTTATCTGCATATTCAGTAGGTCTGAGAATCGGCTACTATCTAAGTTTGTATGTTCTGCGATAAGTGGTTCCGGAGTTATGGCCTCTTAAGTCAAAGTATACTAGCACGCACGATATTCAACAATTATTATTTTGCCACGGAGAGATAATATACACTCTATGTGGTTATTTTTTATTATTGGTTTCCGTGACACCCGCGTGCCAATAACAATTGAGAACGGCTGGGCCGATTTGGCTAATTTTGCTAACCTAACCTAACCTATGTACGTGTGTTTTGCACATATTTCAATGCCAACAAAACGCAAAGGGGCTGATTTGAACCGTNATACTAGTTGTCCCGCGCCCGGCGTTGCCCGTGCCAATTTTTATTATTATTATTTTACCCATATTCATTTTTGGTTTTGGAATGGCCATGTTAGAATTGAATGAAAACAAATAGGTGGAAAGTGGGTAGTCCACCTGCGGCGGCCTAAATGTGTTCTATTGTGATATTTGAATAGTGTAAATAATAGTGATAATAAAAATTATAATAGTTTTATTTTATAATGTGTCGGTGACTCGTTGACAGGCCAGTCTGTCTCAATGCATTAGCTCGACGGCGTTCATTGCGTTGCTCTTGACTTTCATTAGTACGTGTGATTACAGCCTGGTTTCTTAAATTTTCATTGTCCTCGATTTTTTTTTAAATGGGGGGAGGGTTGATGGATTTCAAAGGAAGTTAAGCCTAATCTAACTTATCAGGGAGTGGGGACGCTCGACAGCGGGAAAACGCGTGTACCGTATTATAGCTAATTGCTTGTAATACGGTTCAAATCAGCCCCTTTGCGTTTTGTTGGCATTGAAATATGTGCAAAACACACGTACATAGGTTAGGTTAGGTTAGCAAAATTAGCCAAATCGGCCCAGCCGTTCTCAATTGTTATTGGCACGCGGGTGTCACGGAAACCAATAATAAAAAATAACCACATAGAGTGTATATTATCTCTCCGTGGCAAAATAATAATTGTTGAATATCGTGCGTGCTAGTATACTTTGACTTAAGAGGCCATAACTCCGGAACCACTTATCGCAGAACATACAAACTTAGATAGTAGCCGATTCTCAGACCTACTGAATATGCAGATAAAATTTCATGATAATCGATCAAACCGTCTCGGAGGAGTATGGGAACGAACATTGTGACACGATAATTTTATATATAAGATGTTAAGATTTTATATATAAAAAGTAATATCATTGGTTTACATAATTATATTACCATACACCATATTATACCACGTATATATCTATACATGGTATAATATCACAATATTTTAATACTATTGACTATATTATTATAAATTATAATATATTCAATGATAATATTTTAAACGTTTTCACAAAATAATTATCGTAACAAGTGATCGAAATCGAATGTAACAAAAATGACTATTTGTAACGGAACAGTTCTGCCGGTACCGTGCAACATAAATCATAATACACAGCGGACGCCCCGCCGACACCGACGCGATTAAATCAACCGTTCCGAGAGCGCGGTCCCTCCGTATATTACGCATAGAGCGCGCTGCCAGCCAACACGTCTATCGCAACGTGCTGTGGTATGCTAGACACCACGGTACCAACAAATACTCTGCTCTGGTCGGCTACGGTGATTCATATACATATAGGGGCCGGAGTTATAGGTATCGACGTCTTCTCGACCAACTTGTGGTAAGTATTTGTTCTCTGATCAGCTTGTTGTACGAACGCCTCGGACGGCGCTAATTAGTAAGTATTATCGTTAGCCAATAGCGAAAGATCAGACATAATTGCGGTTATTTAAACGCTTGGCGCGATATCGGCCTTGTTATTCTATAAGAATTTCAAGTCTCTGTGATTGAGCAGCTTAGCTCTTCGCTATTAAGTCAAATTCTTCCTCCCTCTCCCCAACCAATTTTGTATTATTATAGAAATATTCTTCGTAAAACAAATAACTGAAGTATAAACAACCAAATACTGTAAATTAATATTACAATACTATTTACTATACTGTATTTTCAAAAAAGATTATAATATTTTCCGCTTAAAAATTATAAAGCCGAGTGATTAAAGTCGAAACACTAAAAGGCACGTTCTTGACATTAACGCGAAACGTACATGCACAATTTACATATTCCTAGTTTCATTTAGGATGGGGGGGCCGATTATGTGTTTTCAAAGCTAAATAAACATATCCCTCCCACAACACGAAGCTAAAATTCGGATTGAAATTCAACTTTCGATTAAGCCGTCTCGGAGGAGTATGGGAACGAACATTGTGACACGATAATTTTATATATAAGATAATATTAATCATTTTTTTACGTGGTTAAATTTTCAAAACATTTGTGTGAATTTTGGTATTTCTGAGGTTTGTTATTAATTTTATTTAGCATTATGAGGATAAAATTGGTTAGCCAAACTGAGATGTTTGAAAATTTAACATATAGATTAAAAACAATGTATTTTTTTTTTAAGCATTTTAAGTTTAAATTTTGACAAAACCGTACCAGTAATCTGTAAACCAGTTTTAAAACATGTTCAACCGAACTTTGATTCTAGAGGAATCTTATTTCATTAGTAACGATTTACCGTTGCGTAAAGATATAAATCAAATAAAGGTATGTATCCTGCTTTCCTAACTATTCACCTACAACAGTGTCGCATCCATCGGCAGTATCAGCTCTTTTTAATATATTTCTTTTATTTGTACGTGTCTTTGCAAACAAATTTCCTACTAGAAATCGTGTCCCAATCATCGACCTCAGGAGCAGTTTCGGGTAGTAAATTTTTTTTATGTGGTCTATTGAAGAGAACATTTTTTTTAAAAAAAATCGATTTTTTCGCGAAGGGAAGGAAATCCCCCATCAATCGAGTTATTAAATTAAATATAACACACGTAATGGTATACCGATGTCTGTTGGTCATCGTCATCGTAGACCTTATTGGAAAATAGTTTGCCCGGAGTGCGTAACTTAAATCAAATAAATTGTTCGTTCAGACGTTTCGCTCTACGCCGTCGCTTATTCGCCACCGGTGCGGCGACCGTCATATAAGGAAATGTCCTATTCGATTCGTAACAATTACGTAGTGTTCATAAAGGACGCAGGTATAAAAAAATGAAGGGAAAAAAACAATCAGTGTAATGGATTACACTCCCGGTGGCGCCAAACCGTTTTTAAAGTATCGGGGAAAATATATAGATGCATCGCAGTGTACCCAACCGTCTCAGCACTATATTATACTCATGCCTGTCCGAGGGTCACAATGTATCATATAGTTCGATATTTTGCAGCTTCTTATAAGTAGTTACCTTTTTATATGACGATTATTATAAGATTAACCAATCCGATAATCGATTTTTTTTTTCTTTAAGTTTTACTGTCCGTGGTTATAATCAAATTAACTAATAATAACTGGTTTTTTTTTTTATCAGTGTCTAATAGGTTTGATCTAGTCGCGTTTAGTAAGTAACCTGTAAATAAAATATTTTTAAAATGATTACATTTTCGTTTTAAAATTACCGAAAAATCTACCTCTCTGTTTATCTAAAATACATGTCTCTTTTGAATTTTAGGCTAAACAAATCCAAACTGTCATCAAAAATAAAGATTTTAGGCGTTGTTTCTATTTTTGTTTAGGTTGAAGTTTGGAACGTGCGAGTTTTGTCTCTAGGGTTCGCAGAACATATGAATTTTAATAATAGTTGAAATATATTATATATTTTTTTGACACGGGTTAAATAGGGATAAGTATCCTGTAAAAGAAAAGTGTCGTTAAATATATGATTTTTCATTCTAGCTTAATTAAGAAAAATGTTCGAATTCGCGTACTTCGTAAAATGTCCATACCGTCATATGATGTACCTTATAGTTGGTTATTATAACCAAAAACCTTCCACATAAATTCCTTTTTATTAATGATAAGTATACGTTCTAGCCGAGAGAGGGGAGGGTTATAAATCTTATAATATTCGGTAAACGGCGTGTTAGATAATCGAGACCTTTGCGTCCCCAGGAAAAAAAAATAAAAATAAAATCCTATTATTATGAACTTGGGGGCGAGAATACAGAAAAAAAAAAAATAGTCTCGAACGTCCCGAACTCTGATCGATTGATTTTTATAACGTTTTCTTACGAACTACGGTTACTTTCGAGTGTATAGCGCTTTATGCAATTACATTTCTTCCGTTATTCTTGTATGTCAACTATTGTATAGTATATTGACAGAATCGTATATAAAGCGTAGTCTAGGACATTTTTTCCGGGAATTTCCACCGGCTTTAAAAAATAATAAAAAACATTCCATATATACGTGAATACACAACGGTTTTATATACACGCTGTTTTCATTCGACTTTATATGTATTGGAATTTGATCGTACATTTTATGCTTGGAACATTTTTTAGCGGTTATGTGTATTAGGCATAATTCTTTTAAAATTATCGCAATTTAATCATTGTAGAAAAATTATTTTTCATTAATAAATTAATTTTTTTTAAATTATTTATTAAAAAAACAGAAAAAAAATTGTTTTCCGTAATAACTCATTTTTATTTTGAACATTTTAGAACTGCTTATTGAATGGTTTAAAACTAAATCTACGATTTAATTTAATTTTTCTGTTTATGAACATTTTTCATTTAAACAGGGTATCGTACAGTGTTATTTGAATGCATTCTGTTTACATATAATATATTATCATCTATAAGCTTATTGCAATTCACTCAAGTGCACTTATACAAACGTACGCTAGAAATTTCATGTTCATCAATAAGAAATCTGTGTTGTTAGTTTTAATAATTTGATAGCGAATTGACCAATTAATAAATTTAAAGATAAGAAAACTATTAGTGAAATGATGTCGGCTATTTCGATATTATAATTTTTACGCGAGATATGAGCATACTGTACTAATATCACAATTTAAAATGGTTTATGTCTCGTTTGAAAATTAAAACACAAAAAATTAACGTCGATAATGTTTTTACCTGTAAGTTTTACAATAGGTTAGTCTAATATTAAAACTAACATGCTTATAGTTTTCCCCGTTGAACGCGATTTCGATAAGTCGTGCGTTTTTAAAGACGGAGACAGCTCATGCGGGTTTCACTCAAATAATAAAATCGGTGTTTAAATATGACTTTTTTCTGTATTTTTTTTTATAATAATTTGACCCGAATTCTCATTTAAACGCGTGCAGTAAAAAATGCGTTTGAAATTATTTTTCGAAGTAAACGAAAACGCAATAAACGAAACCGTACACAATAACATCGTGTACTCGTGCCGTTACAATGACTGACGGCGTAACATAAATAATTACGTTTCGTCGAATATTCAATATTTTATTTCTTTTCGCGGACGCCCTCGACGATACCTCGCGAAAGTGTCACTACTGTCATGTTACGTATTTCGTTCGGGCCGAAGTCAGCGGCGCGCGCAGTAGTGGGGCTGGGTAGTAGAGGGTTAACGGTGACGTTGTCGTCTCCCGGTCGGCCTGAATATACAACACGGCGAGGAGTATGGTATTCGGCACAGTATAATCGCGAAAAGTACACGTGTATCTCGACCAAGTCGCTAAGGGAGGCTCGACGCGTTTGTTGACGGACTGCCGTTTTCGGATCCGGTAAAGTCCCCGCAAGTCGAGTGGCGCGCGGCGGAGCCGATCCCGTACGGTTTGTCCGTCGCTCCCGGCGGAAAATTCCCGGGCCGCGCCAACGGACTCGGGAGGTTCCTCGCGACGGCGTTGTGTTCGGACCGGCGGAAAAACAATACGCCGGCGGACGCGTGTCGGCAACGGTGCACCGTAAACGTTACCGTACCGACGAAACGTCCGGCGTGCGTATAATCGCCGTCATCGCCGCCGGAACGCCGGGACCGGCGAGTACATCGGAACGGCCGCGTCGTGTTCGACGGCGACCGCGCGGGTGACGGCCGATGCGGCGACGACGGTGCGGCGAGCGTTCGAGTGGACGGGCGCAACGGCGAACGGCGTCACCGGGGGAAACCCGATAAGATCGTTCCGCCGGCTTAAATACAACTGTCGTTGGGGGCGGGCGCGCGGAACGGGAAGAGGGCCGGCGGGCGGATGGCCGGGGGCGCCGTCGCGTACCGCGACCGAGCGAACCGAGCCGCGCGACGGTCGTACGCGCGTCTGTACGGGCAAGGGCGCGTTACGTTATTACGACGCCGGTGTACGGGGTGACCAGTGCCGGCCGGCCGGAAACGCGTCGCGGGCCTGCCGTATCGAATGTTTTCGGCCGGCGTTTTCCGATCGCCGTGTCCCGCGCGGCACGCACGCACGACGATAGTGTTGTGGCAATACGCACCGCGAAGCTAATAGCATTAATTATTGCGCGTGCGCCCGCTACCGTCCGTGCGGTGTAGACAAACGGTAACAGTGTGAACGTGTCACAAAAATGCGCGTCCCGACACAATGTCGGTTTGGCCCGCGAACGGAAAAAAAAAAAAACAATATCTCCGCGACGTGTACCCGGACGGCGGCGCGAGAGATGTCTCGTTTTCTGCGCAACGGTTTCGGTGAGATTTCCAATAGTCCGCAACCCGTACGACCCGAGCCCGGAACGAACAGGAGGTGTAACCGGTGCTGTAGACGTTTCGGCGGACGGGCCCGAATCGATTCGCGAGCTCGTAGCCCACACGTCGAATCGGTTCCCGTTTGAAAAAGATACTCTACGAAGGCGAGCCGAATTCGATTCCCGTTCAAATACCTGCGTGTACCCGTACAATAATAACACGATGGGTATTTTACATTTATCAGGGTAATACAATTATGTTATGCCGGCGTATTGCCAAAATGCCGCAATCGATTAAGATAACGTCAATCCATCTGAATTTACGTATCTGTTATAAAATCTAAGTAATTCTAAGCGCTGAGCCTATAACAATGAAAAGCGAAATGCGCGTATTCGGCCATCTCGCTGCGAACAGTGTGAACGAAATCGACCAGTAGTGGGATACATCACGAATTTAAACGGGAACCAATTCCGTTCACCTTCATACAAAATACCTTTTTTCAAACGGAAACCAATTCGACCAAACGGGAACACCCGTTTCTGTACACTTTACCTTTTTCGCTAACATATCTCACGATTAAGGGCCGCACGTACATTCACAAGCCCGTCTCATCTTGTACGTTACACCGGTCCCCCACCCTTTTCTGGGATTTTCAATACCACCATGAATCAGTTTGTAATTTGTATGCATGTTTAGCCTTCCTACGATCGCTGTAATCGAAATACTAGGGGGGGGGCTGTAGAAACGTTTCTCTAGCAGCCGGATTTTAAAAAAATTACTCATTTCGTGTTTCTGATTGTCGTGACTTTTATATGTCACTTGAAACCAAATTTTCTTTTAGGTTGCATATGGGTCATGATAGTAAAAAATATAAGTAGAATAACCAACGGGTGCAATTCAAACGGTTTTTACGTATCAGAAAGAACATAATTTAAAATGGTATGACAGGATCTACAATATACGCTAAAATAATAAATTAGTTATGAACCGTTTATGTCCTATTTTAACGCACCTCTCGAGTATGGCGGAGAACTGGCAGCGTGTGATGGTACTTTTGGACACGCATTCACACAAACACTAAGTGATTACCCCACATCACTTGAGAACGTTGAATTCTCAAACAATCAATGTAACTACAACTGCAACTGTCAAAGAAAAATAAACGATTGTACTTATCAAACAAATGTTGCTAATAGCATACGCGATTTACAAAGTTTTGCGGACGATAAAATGGGCAAAAAATAATTCGACTGTGGGAATAAAACAAATTACAATAAATGTATCAACAAACCATTTCCTTTTTGATATTCCACGTTGGAAAGATACATTCCCAATATTTTTTTCACGTGTACTAAAAAAAAAAAAATTCTATTATCACTATAAATTATAATTAAAAATGTATATAAGACGTGGATGCTGTATCCGACCAAAGAAGTGCTGAGTTAACAAAGTTGATTCGGATAAAATTAGGCCAAATTACCATCGCGAAATGTCCGTTGCATTATGGTGAAAATTTGCTTTCTTTAATAAGACTATAACAGCTCTCGGTTCTTGCCAACCGAAAACGGTTTTTATAACAATTTTTAGGACGTGCCACACAATAATATTTTATATTATTATCGTAATAATATTGAATTGGAAATTTCAAAAATAATTTTTTTTTTTATTACACACTATTTTGTAACGCTATGACAATAAGTAAAATAAAATCCTCGAAGGGAAATTTGATTGAGAAAACGATAGACAAAGCTTTTCGGTATAATACGGGCCTTGGTCGAAATTTAATTTAGGAAGTCGCGTATTTATCGCCACAATTATTTGAAAGACACTGACTCGTCTCGACTATAACATATCTGTCCGCATGTGCAATTGAAAAAAAAACCGGAAAAGTGAAAATTTTGAAAATATGTCGAGATTGGCCCTCTTAGAAATTCGCAATTCGTATGCGGATTTTATGTTTGAAACGCGTAATAAAATATTCATACGACCGTACTTAATAGATTAAAATATTATATATGATCTTCTGTATATGCATGCATGGACGAAAAGACACATTTTATATACGGGTTCGGATAGGTATACGACCATCATTATTTATCCTCCAGTCGTGTGCAATGGCGTATATATTTTTTTTTTTTTTATCCGTGTCGAGGGTTTCAGCGGACGCCTTTCAACGACTTAACTGATCTTTTTTTTATGTACGCGTCACGTATATAATAATACGCTCTGAATTTAAAAATATATAGACAATAATAGGTACATTAGGACAGGTACTATATTGTCTAGGTAAACATTTTATACTTTTTTTTTTCTTGCTTCTGAATGACGTGTATACAATTCGGAACCATCACGGTAAAATACGTAGCACTGGTCGTTGGAAATACGTTTTCCCGTACAAAAAAAAAAATAAATAAAAATAAAAAAAAAACGAAAAAAAGACAGTATACCTACCTACCAATATATACCTAATAGTTATGTTTACAACCGTTAACAATGGGGTATTTCCTAAGAGCATGACCGAATACAATAAAATTTATAAAACAATTTTTTTTTTCTAAAAATACAATAGCATTCAGAATACTATATTGTTTTTTTTTTTTTTTTTTTTTTTAACGTTATAATATTTTTTTTTTTTTAAATACAATTTCCCATCTAGGCACATTGTTACGTCATTCTGTTTACTGTAAAACATTTTCGTTTTCCTATTTACTTGATACTATACGATATAGAACTAAGTAACCACCAGGTAACCTAAATTTGTTTTATTTGTTTAACAAATTGTAATAATCGCCATTGTCATTTATCGCATACACGTTCGGATAATGTTATAAAATAACGTAAAGTGTAAACGATGGAATAATTTTAGCAATCTGCTTGGATTGACGGGTTTTGTTTGTTTTTATCATTTTGTTCTAATTAATTGTTGTGCGGGGCAAAAAGACTCACGCTACTTGAAAACCGTCGGCTTTCACTTTTATCACGCGGTCGCGTAGTACGCGTATACTTAATGAAATAACGTCATCATTAAACGGAATATTTTAAATTAAAAACAAATAAATTATACACTCATACGAATCAGCAGGGAACGTGGCACTTAATTATTTTCGCCGTGAACGTGCACGATGCACGCACATTTTTACGTAATCTCGGTGGTTATACTTATACATATATATATTTATACACGAGTGTATGTATAACATATTAGAAGTAATATAATTATAGGTTAGGCTAGACGAGCTAGACTGTTAATATTAAATTATTCGAAATTCAGTAGTCGAGACGTAGGGCGTTTGCGTTCTGCGGTAGGACCGTCAAACGTACAATTAGGCACTGAATAATCTTATCGTGTATGACGAGTAATCTCAATGGTACGACCGATTTTTGAGATATCGGTTTTAATAGTATAACATACAGTAAATCGTCCTATCATCGAACCTCAAAGGAATGACGTTATTAATAATCTATGTCCGTTCTAACGTTTAACATTTTTAAACCGCGTGATATTTCGCACAATCGTAACTCGCTTGGAAATTAACAAAAATTCGATGTAACAGCGCAGTATTGAAAGTGAGAAATTTGTTCTGGTGAACGCGAAAAATTGCTACGCGAAGACATCGGACGACGCGTGATGTGTATACAGTAGCGCCCTCTTAAAAATGTGCGCGGTACTTGTTACGTTATGGTGTTTTATTGGGAATATAATGCGAGTTTCATAAAACGCGAAGCGAAATCGAAGTAGAATTTTCTGCCGACTGTACATATTTTATGTGTTATACGGGAACATTTATAATATACAGCGAGTGTTTTCCGACAAACGAAATAATAAAAAAAATCACGATATTGTGAAACCAATCGCGTCTCGCTCCGCGCGTATACCAAATATATATACACGTTTAATGTGGCATATTGTATAAAATTTATTACCATTGCGATTTATACACGAAATCTTATTAACTGTTTACACGGTTTTGAATAATATATAATATTTTATGCAAAATAAGAGAAAGCACAATAATCCGGAATTTATTTTTATATTTCATCTCGGCACGGCGAGATGATACGTGACTGGTAATACGATAAACGTATACATTATAACAGATTAAAATTAAACGGCTAGCTATTCCATTTCAGCTCTTGTGCAAATAAATCGATCCAGATCGAAATATATTATCACGCGGATATTGCAATCCGTAAGTGTAACTCGATAATATTAGCGCAATATTATAGCGCAGTATTCGGTCACGCGGATTATTGTAAGACGATAATATTATTTATTTTTTATTATTTTTTTTTTAAAAAATCTTCGCTTTTGTTTGATTTTTAAAAACGTTTGACAAACAATATAGTACCTATACGTAGATTGTATAATTCTACGACGTCATCTGGTTTATATTAATTTTTTCAGATGCTTTTTTATATAAATAATATTATGAAAGATATGATTTTGATTTTATGATTTTACGTATAATTCAATTTATGTTTAATACAGACTTGTAAAGTATTTAAGTAAATGTATTTCAATATTGTCTTGGACGTATTCGTATTTGAATTTCAAATACTTCGATGTAAATACTTTTCTTAGTTCAAGAATTGCAAAGTTTGTGTTGTCATTTAATATTATAAATAATAAAATAATACATTACAATTTATGTTCCGTGATTTGGACCTGGACCTTGTGATATCCTCGTTACAAACTGATGATAAAGAAGTCAGACAAACGCAAATTGACAGTGTAGTGATGAATGACATAGAAATTAAACCATACGACAAATAGCTTACAACGAATATTACCATATTAATACTTTTAGAAAATGATTAAATGGAATACATTTTGGAATCGGTTATTGCACGATAGATTTATAATTCCTATTTCATTAACATTTGTTTTATTCATTCAAAGTATTAAATTATTAATTTTTTAACATTTCGATTAAATTTCGATCAAAATACATCGTAATTTTTTTTTAAAAAAATCATTAATTTGCGTAATTCGCATTAAAATATACAAGTTTTCATTCCAAAAAACCAATATTATTATCATCACAGATTACTCTTATAATAATTACTCCACAACGTTTATAGTCGTAAAAAATCTATGGATGCATAAACATCGTCGTTCACTGACGATGTTTGCACTTAAAAATGCTAAAAAAAAAAAAAAAAAAACGGGAATTTTAATTAATGCAGAATTCAACCATATACGATCGAGGCGAGCAAGCTTAAAAAATCACCCTGTATACATACAATATATTTTCGTTGTTATGAAACGGGATTATGTAAATGTCCTGCCGCCTCCGCGGCCGTACCGTCCGATCGCCACCGCGGGCCGCATTAAGCTCAACCCTAGTCCTCCGGGCACATATTTGTCACAATAGCCCGTTGTAAAAACGTCTGATCGATACACGCTACGTACACTCATAACCAATACTTCGGCTGTACGATAATTATCTCACAACTTGTATGCAATTCAAATTTTACAATTCGAAATTGTTACGCTACTCAACGGGTTACTGATGCGCTTGATTTCGGGACGCCGCTGCGTATTTCAACAAACGAAATGGCCCCCGCCGTCGCCCGTAGCCCCGCGGGCACGCGCCCGCCTTGCCAACACGTCAATCCGGAACGGATCGTCGCTGAATTGTACGGGTGCCTGAATGGGTTCCAGAGGGTCAAACTGTGAGCCGACGTTACTAATTGACGGTTTCGGCAACATCGCGCGAATGGGTTCGTACGAAACGGTCGATGTCGTGGAAAAACAAGTCGTGGATCTTGCACCAGGATAACGCGGCTGCCCATTACGCGCTGTCTGTGAAGCGTCGTTTGGCCGCTCGAGGCACTCCAGTACTCGAACACGCGTCTCGCTCACCCGACTTGGCACCGTGCGACTTTTACTTGTTACCGAAGATAATGTCTGCCTCGAAAGGAAACCCGGATTTGGGTCGACGGAAGGGGTGAAACGAAAATCGGCGGAACTCCCGAATGGTCTTACGAAAAACAGACTTCCAGCGCTGCCTCGAGCAACGGATGAAACGAACGAGACGGCGTGTGAACAAGGGAATAGAGTATATTGAAGGGGAACGTTCGGTCGCGGAATAATTTTTAAAATAAAACCATTTTTCATAAGCGGTCTGGTTGTTTAACAGCCACGCCTCGTATACGGTATGACGGCGGAACCGCGGCGATGTTGCCGGGTTACATTGTCGGGCGTACAGGCGAGTCTACTCGTTTTCGAAAAATGCCGCCGATGAGTGTTAATGTATGCGGTCGTTGTTTTGCTAAATCGGTCGGCCGCGAACAATGGGAAACGATCGTTACGGCGGCGGCGCATAATGCAAGTGGCTTTTTTCGGGCTTTTCCGAGCGATTTGCCCGCGGAAACACAATCGCCGGGTCGGCGGGTCGGCCCCATTGTTTCGTTGTTGTTGCGGTTTGATTTTCGGGGGGGGGGGGCCACCTTGAATCTTTCTCCGTGCCGCCCGTCCGCGCACAATAACGTTGACTCCCGCGCGCACGTTCTCCCCGCGGAAACCGTTTTCCCGCTCGTTTGCCGTTTTCGTGTTTGCGCACGCTCGCGGTGCGCCGAAACGGGGGAGACGTTCTGCTCGCGTCGTATTATTATTACGTATTATTATTATAATGACTAGGCGAGTGTGTTTGCGCGTTTAATAGAAAACGAGGAGACCGGGAGAAAAGCCAGGCGATGCATGAATTGTACAGATAAGCTCCTCTCGCTCATCTATAACCGTCCGCCGCCGCCGCCGCCGGATAGACCCCGCGGGGCCGAGTGGAAAATTCGCCCGTCCTCGTCGTCGCTGTTCGATCCGCGAGCTCCAGATTTACAATTCCGCTCGGTTCGGAACGCCGCGTCACGCGATACCGTAAAAGCCAAATTAATTTTTATCGATTCAAAAACGATAAAACGCACTGTGATACACTCGATGGTTGATGACGGTTCGGCGTATTTGTCTGTAATTTCGCACGATTTAAAAACGGATTTTTTTTTTTTTTTTACATTTCAAAGAAGGCATATATCTACCGATCTACTGCCGATTGGTAAGTATCCAATTAACGCGATTGCCGTTTTCATATACGGCGTTTTGGATCTCCAGAAAAAGCGGTTTAGAAATTGCGTTTGATGGATTTCAATTTTAAAACACATTACGTTATTCTCCACGGTCTTCGTTATACCTATAGGATACGATGGAATTATTTTTTAAATTCTAATTCTCTTTATCGTATGTAAAAGGCAAAATACTTTATGTTCAGTTTTTAAAAACAATCGATCTTTTTTTACGATTTCCAGTAAATTGATTCAATCTCACGGTCCAACGTACCCTTTTGAAGAATTAAACGAACCATAGACTGCCCTCTTAAAATTGAAATCCGTCAAACAAAATCCAGTTTTTTATGTTTTTAAGTCTAAAACGTCATATTCGTCCTTAAAAAAGCCATTGTCCTTTAATGGATATCGGGCAGTAGGTTAATGGACAAGTCTTGTCATTAAAAAGTAAAAAAACAAATTTGGAAAACAATCGCCTTAAACTACAACTATATATTTTTTTTAATTTATTAATTTAAGATATTTATCGCGGATAAAAATCTATTATAAATCGTAAAAACATGAATTTTACATTTTTTTTTTCTCGATATTCCGCACGAATAATAATAACAATTTAAAGTTTCTTTTTTGAAACAGACGTTTTTGTCACAAAGGATTTTGTGGACAGAATGTAATAAAAGCGAAAAAACAGAAATGTTGACGTACGTTATACGTAGAGACAAATAGATCATAAACTAACTATCGTGCATTTAATTATAAGTTAAGTCCTTTGAACTGTAATATCATAGCGGGGAAAATAATAAAAAAATTGTTAGTTACTTGATTTTTAAGTTCAGTTCAATGTTTAGCTATTGTACCACCTTTAATATGCGAATTGCTGAAACATAATTGATTATAAAAAAAAAAAAAAATATATACATATAAATATTAATAATCTCGTTCGATGATACATTATGTTTTTGGAAAACATCATTATTTGCAATAATAGAAATTTCGAAAATAGTTTGTCATTTGAATTCCAAAAGTTGATCCCTAAATTTCCCCGCCCCCCCAGTAGAGCGTCTGAAAATTTCAAGCCTACATATAATTTTAGATTAAACTATTAATACGCATGTCATTACACATTGTTATAAATTTAATATATTTATAAGAGAGAATTGACGTGACATCAAATTCTGAGTATATAATTCTGAACACTGAATATTATGGTTAAAATATTCTTTTTACTCAAAAGTACCTGCAGTACTTTTTGGCGGTAGGTACCTGAAAATTATATATCTCAAGGGCAATATTGTGATTTCATCATTTTAATGCATAAAATTGCGTGTGTTAATAATTTGTTTATATTTTTGTTTTTAATACAAGTATAATTGAATCAAATGGAAAAGATTTTAACGAAAACCGTTATTTCCGAGAAAAAAATAAAGAAGAAATGTTAATGTAAATTAATTAATTAACGGAAGGGATATTGTTTTACGTTAAATGTGAAATAATAATAAAAAAAAAAAAAAAAAAAACGTATTAAACGTTTTAAATTAAAGACATATTTTTTTCAAGTCTGGTAATTTCAACGTATATTAATTAATTTTCAATTAACCAACGATTATAAGCACTCGGTTATTAAACTGAAATGAATAATCATAACACAGACCATACAAAAACCTAAAAGAATATAAAATAATATTTAGTTGCGTATAATATTGTAAATTGTGCATAGGTATTTATTTGGTTTTATATATTTCGTCACCATTTTGATTTTAAAACGTTTAATAACGATTATTATAATGAAACGTTTAATTAAATTCTAAATGTTTTACTGCGTGTTCAAAATGAACAGCAATTCGCTTTTATTAAAATTCGTATTCGATAACATTATCGCGTTTCGCGTATACTATTGGTAACGTGTACACGCAGTAAATAATACACAGTTAATTGAGCGTTAAAAAAATAAATCGTGTAACTTACCCATACGTCTAACTATCTGAAATAACAATATTTATTTTGTATTTGAATTTGCTGTAGAGTAGGACAACGCTGTGATACAGTGTACCAAAGAAACTCTGTTGTACACTCTTTATTTCTAAGTTTTAGGTCTTTATTATAAGGGTATTTGTTCGAAGTTCTGAAACTTTATATGAATTAGGTAAGTGTATAGCATTTCAGCGTTTCCGACGAATGTTAATTCTTGATCCAATATTGTGCCGGACTATGTTATAACGCGCCCCCATCTGTATTATTTATGGTTTGTTATCTGTATTTTCTATCGTTATGAGGATTTCGTTTTCTAATAATAAACTTTTCGATATTGTTTGCTTTTTAGTCCGGGGGGGTCGGCTTTATTTGTAGGTCTTCGGTCACATTATTTTGTCGGAAATCGGGCATAACCGCGTGATGACAACCATACAAATCGTACAATCACATTATTTATTATTACACTATCGTACGTTTGGTGTATTAAATATGTATTTTTTCGATCGAGAATATCGTACATTTATATTTTATTTCGGTATACATAGATAATCATATGTGTCCGTAGAAGACTAATGGATTTTGCGAATATAAAAAAAAAAAAAAAAAGTGCTTAACCGTTGGGGCGTTCACTCGTACGTTCATTGTATAATTGTAAAAATATTCTATTATAGAACATTAAACATTTTTCATTCACGCCCCTGTAGTCATAGTGCCCCGTGCGTGGGTATCTCTCGTAGCCGTCTACCCACGGCCCTGGAATAATACATAGTATACAGTCAAATACAATAATGCAGTTAGGTAAAAAAGACTGATATACTTAGCGCGTGGATGGGTCATTGTTGTAGGCGAGTAGCCGGGAAGGTATAGAAGAAATTTAATGTATATCTACGCGCGAAGATTTGACTCTTGCTAACAGAAAACGATTCTGAGCGGGGTTCGGTTAATAGTGTTAATTTATCAACAATTTGATAACGTCAAAGTGCAAAAGTGTAAAGTGCATGAAAAAATGTCCACGCCATGCGAGTTTGTTGAAGTTGATTATCGATATTATCGTTGGAATGTAAAATTATTGCAAAAGAAACACCATTCACGGAATGCATACGGAAAGTTCTTAAAGACGCGAGGATATGGAAATGGGAAAGTATCGAGATTTGAAGGATCAGAGTTTTGACAGAAGAACATTACTTATTGCAGCTAACCAATCCAATCGCTAAATCGGAGTGCAAAAGAAGAAAAGTTACCAAAATCGGCTATAATTAAATAATACAAGCTATAATCACTTTTGCAATTAAAACGGCCAGTTCAATAATACTATTCAATGTGCACCTTTCCATGTATGATTGACGGTTTTAAACTCGTAATCATAGCGGCGTAATGATAACGGCGTAATAATTTTGCGTAAGTCCCAAAGACAGACCGAAAAAAGCTAAGACTTGTTCATTAATTTTTTACCGTGATTTTAAAAAAAACCCGCACGGTCGAAATCTCATCAAAGTACAAAGTAAACGAATTTTTCTCGGCAACCTTTCCCGTACACTTTACCGAGTTTTCTAGGGCATTGTAAAAATCGTTTCGTACGTAAATATATAGGTATTAATTTTTCAAATTCGCATTGTTACATATTCGATCTAAATCGTATTGTAATTGTACGTCGGAAAATCCGGATTATCGAACTCCGGTATTGTATTTTTCGTTTGGCCGTACCGAACATTCAATCGTGCCCCCGTGTGCAACTATTATTTATACGATTTGGTGTTTTTTTATTTTTTTTTTTTTTACATTTTAAGTTTTGCGTCACTTACGACTTACAAACGTTTACAATTTACTATTACCCGCCGTTAACCGACGACGGCAAAAAGCGAATTTCGCGGAAACGGTCGCCCGACGCCAAATAGCCTTCCGCAAACAGTCGGCGACGCGACGTTATCGGAAAACAATTGTACATTAATGGCGTGTTTCTCGGTTAAACGCACCGGGACCGCGTGCGGAACGTTCGGCGGCGTTTCCAGCGTCTCCGGTGGAGTGAAGTTGTCGACGGCGCGTCGGATATTACGTATATTTCCGCGACCGTCGGACAACACGACGGGAACGCGCGGCGGGCGCGTTCGCCGTAACGCTTTCGGGAAACGTCACGAAATTCCGATTGTCATTTCGTTTGACAGCGTCAAGCGCGACAACCGGCACCGATACCTTTGTACGCACACGTCTACACGTTACACGCGCGCGCGTACCCCGCAGTCGCCGGCAGTCGGCCGAACAACAGAATCGTGTTCGCGGCGGTTCGTTCCGAGTTTGGTCAGATTTTCGAACTTTATACGCTCGCGCTCGTGCCGGGGGCGCCGTACCCGCGCGATCGCGTTCGACGGCGGCGTCGCCGTTCCGCGGAATAACGGGTGGGGGGAGGCGGCGGGCGTGTAACGCACGGGCGGGCACGGTGCGTGCGTCGCACACGGCCGACACGCACCGGGGCGCACGTCGTCCCGGTCACCGGCCGGACCGTCCGGGACGCGAAACCGTCTCGCAACCGACTCCCGGCTCGCCCGCGCGACGCTGTTTCGCGTACACTCCGGCGGGCACCGGGTCCGCGGCGGTTCCGCGCGCTCGCATATTTTATACTGTCGCGTGTGACCCGCCCGCAAACGCGTCCGCGCATAATTCGTTACCCGATCCGGATAAAAAAACTTTACCCGAGACGATACGTAATAATAACAATAATACGACGACGACGACGAAGTTACGCGCTCGTAACAATATACGCGTAGAGCGCGGTTATGAATTATTGCGAAAAATAAATACCGTGCCGTTTTTCCGAGGGTCCGGAGCACGACCGGAGCGCTGTTCGTTGTGTTCAACAAGCGGACATTATTACGCGACTATTCAAACGGCGCGGCAACGATAACGCTCGTCGGAGAGAGACCCGTTCAAGTATACGGACGGTAAAAAGGAAAAAAAAAAAACGGTTTACAACGGTTATCAAACAAACGGTTCCTATACAGTGCCCGCCCACTTGGAATAAACGATACACAGTTACCTCGCCTCATAGATCGATAATTGATTTATCAGCAGTTGTTACTGCCGGCTGCAGCGACCATTAACCAATGCTGCTACTAACTGTGACTGGTGACTAATATCGATTTGAGAAAATGTCGAAATATATTATATTCTTACGTACACATCGAATCGTTAAAACCTAGGCATACATTTTAAAATAGCCACCTCTAGTAAAGTCGTCTATATCGAAAACTCTCGCCGATCGAAAAAGCGTTTTCCGAGAACAGAAAAAAAATCTTATAAAAAACGAAAAGCTTTGAATCGAAGTTAAAATTCCATTCTAAAAGAAAAATATATACTATGTTTAATAAAATAAATAAATAAAAACGCTGTCCTCCAGGATAATGGAGATGGGCGCAGCCACAGTTGTAGGTGGGAAGTCGGGAAGATAGGATACAGAAGGGAATTTAATGTATAATAACTATCGCATTATACCCCATCGTGCGTGTCTATATAAACGGGTCGATCTGTGTGTTTTCCTCAGGACCATTGATTAACTAATGCTCACCACGCTTCTGTAGGGTTGGTGTATGTAAATCCTTCAACTTTCAACGACTTTTCATTCTCAATACCTTAAGAAATAAGAAATTTGGAATTACAATTTAAAGACTATATTTTCGTTCTTGGTCTTCTTCCGATTTTACAATTCTCACGCATAACCTTCAATAATCAAAATCAACTATCATTGCATTATAGTACGATGCGACCAATCATGGCATTATTATTGCTTCTAATTTTTATTATTTACCGTGTTGTTTTCCTGATTCCGTGATTCGTCTCTTATTACAAAATTTCCGCACCATTGTAATACCACATATCCAATACTACTCTGATCGATCGTACCCACTGGTTCAGAAAGTTTGAGCGTACGTCACAATATACAGGTAATATTAAATTTCGGGAGTCATTTTTCTTATTTATTTACAATTATATACACAGTGAGTTTTTAAGTACGCTCAGTACCAACAAAACCAGAGATATTTTACGGAGATCATATTTCGAATTTCTCAGGAGTTTTCTTATAAAATGTAAAAACCAGGACAAAATATAAGAAAACTGGGAAAAAAGTAGGAAAACTGGAAAATCGGAACGATATTAACAAACATTATAGAAAAAAATATATAATACATAAAATATTGAATGATTACGACAATGATACGGATAAGACCCGTGTGCAATTTTCCACACCACCTTGGCTATCGACAAACGCCAATGAAATTATTCTTACGAGTATTTGACGTTATTCGAAAAGCGTATGAGGTTTTGCACGAGGCGCGTTTTTTTTATAGTGGTATCCCCAAGTAGGCCTAATCCACTGTGTCGATTAATCCAACCTTACCTTAAATCCTTGATACTACACTTTATAATACAATACGATCACCGAATCCCGATCCTCGTTCCTTGAAGTCGTCCGCAGCTACCAGCAGTCTTTGGCTCGAAGAGTTCTCGTGCAAATAAACCGAAAAAAAAAACATAAAAGAAAAAAAAAAGATAGAAAAAAAAAACACTACTAATATACCGACGAAGAAAACTTTATCGACTATTGAACAGTTTTAAAAAAATGATTATAAAACAATTCAGAAAAATAAAAATAATTTAAAAACGACAACTAATAAAACAAATTTAATAAACATAATTTACTACGATTCGATTAAATACGCGTACAATAAACAAAATTAATGTTATTGCCAACATTATTAGCCAGCGCGTGTTTCGCGATATTTATTATCGTTCAAATAAATAAATAGTATTATCAGTAAGCGTACATCTTTTTATTTTGGCGAATTTCAGTACTGATAGTACAACCGATACGTGTTTTCAGCGAGGCACGGTAAATACCTCGAACGATATCCGTTTACAATTGGACGATGTTAATAATAATAATTGATCGATTTTCAACAAATTTATCTGCTGGCAACGATAAAACATTTATAACGGAATTGCGATTGTTAGTGGATGTGTTCATGTGATAGTGTTGCTTTGTCAACAATAAATAATATTTATGTCGTATTATGGTAAAATAATTATGTATGCATTAAAAATCGTCTTTAATAATATTTGTTTAACGCTGTACATATTTTCCAGTTCTCTGATTTTTCCTCAGTTTTTTGTTTTCCCGGTTTTTCCAATGCATTGAGAAAACTCCTTAGAAAATCAAAAAACCTACCTTCCCAGTCAGATTTAATTTCAGAAAAAGTGCTATCATTGTAAATCGGAGAAAAATCGCCTATAGAAAAGTTGTTCGCTGGAAAAAAAAAGAGGGCCGTAATAAATTGCATTCGTATATTTTCCCGTTTTTCTCCGTTTTTTCACATTTTACGAGAAAACTGCCGAGAAAATTGAAAAAGGACCTCCTATAGTACCACTCCAAGAAAATTTACTTTTAGAAAACGGTCTACAATATGTACATCGGGGTAAGCTTTCTGGTTGAAAAAGTGTTGACATAAAAAAAAAAAAAAGTAATAATAAACATCTTTGTAAAACCAATAAATTCTTCGCTACACTCAGAATCTAAAATAAATACTCACCTATGCAATTCGATTACAACGCGATTATCTAAAAACTCGGTTCCGTTCGGGTTTAAGCGAGCATAAAAAATTTCTGTTCAACAATTGTATACCTGCGCTAAATAAATTTAGGACATTCCAATTGACAGATAAACGATTGTTGTAAATGTTTCCAAACATTGAGTCTAATATAGGTACTTCTCGTCGAGTCGACTGGACTCCGGATTACACTACCCGCCCGTGTACACGGTCATGTTCAGTTATTGTACGCGCGTGTCGCCGATCGCTGATAGAGTGTATCGGGTAACCCGAGCACGAAAAACGGATGCCAGAAAAGTATTCTTTTTTAATTTTTAGATTCTGAGCGCTGTGAGCAAGCAATGTATCAGTTTGACAACGATGTTTATTTATTTATTTGTCTGTGAAAAGACGTTTACACCAGCTCCGGTCTTCAAGCATAGCGCTTTTTCCGAAAGGAAATTTGACCGGAGCGTTACCGGGGTGGTGATTTTTCAGCTATCTCGGGAATTTTCTTAGCGAATGAGAAAAACGGGAACATTTACCGACCGCAGTATTACTCTCAGACCGTAAATACTACGGCCTTTCGAAACGTGACGTATGCGCCCAGCTCCGCTCAAAATCGCATTTTCGTTCGCGACGGCCAACCGTCGCGTACAGACGTTGCACGTTAAACGCGTTCTCCCTGTAATGTTTTCCCGATTATCATCGCCGCAACAAACGAAATTATAAAAAAAAAAAAAAACTAAACCAATAATAAAAACGCGTCCGAAACGCACGGTTCCGGGACGTTGCGTTATCGCGTTGTCGATTTTTTTTTCGTTTTTTCCGCGCTAATACTTAACCTCCACTCCCGTCCCGTTTCGCCGTACCGGCGAGCCCGCGAGAAAGTACCGCGTCGTCCCCGGCCGACCCGCGAAAATAAACGATTCCCGCGACTCCCGAAAGAACGTCCCGTACGTGTTTGAAAAACTTTGCGGCGTATGCACTCGCGCGCGTCCGGGGGCTTAGCGAAAATCGCGAATGCGCGCGGCGCGCTCAATCATCGCGGTGTACGCCGCGCCGTACGCCATCTGCCCCGGGAACATACGCGCGTGCACACCTTTGTACGTACGTAACGGCGGTCACAACAACACTTTTAAAACTTTTCCATTCGCTCGCCGTCGATATTATTTTCGCAGCTTTAACTCGAAATCTCAATATAAATATAATATATATATATATGTACCCCCGCCCCCTCTTCCCCCCCCTCACCGGTGCGTCTGGCGCGAAAACTTCGGGGTCGTGTGCGCCGTGCGGGTAGGTATGCCACGAAACGGATTAATATCCATCGCGCATTTCAATACGAAACCGGAGAATGTGTACGAATGTGTGTATATACATTTTTTTTTCTTCTTTCTTCGTTTTTACGCGTAATACTTTTTCTACGCGCATACGCGTAAAATACGGTTTTTTTTTTTTTTTTTTTGTTTTATTTTCTGTACAGACGGGAAACGAATGAACCCGAAAACCGACACAAAACCGGACGGTCTTCCGTCATAACGTTACAAAGTCTATTTTCGGATTTTACCGTCCGCGCGTTCTTATTGGTTATAACGATTAAACGCGACGACGGAATTATTACGGTAACGCGTATCGCGCATTTACACGTTGAACGTTATGATATTGTACCCGTGTCAGTTTTTCCCACCGTTACTGTTTTTTTTTTTTTTTTTTTTTTTTCCGAATCGATAACAAACAAGTAAATTATGATATTATAACTTTTACAAGTGTATCAACAAAAACATTTTCCGTCGCAATTGACAACCGTTTGTTATTTATTTATTTATTTATTTATTTATTCGTAGTTGCTACACGAAAATACTGTTTTAGTTTTAGAAAAATAAATAGGTGAACATTTTGGTTTTTTCGGTTTTTGGGACAAAAAGACCGGGCAGACTGTCTTTCTACAGTTTCGAATACGAATAATATCAACGATAATACGAATTTTACAATTTACTTTATACGTCACTTAACATTTTTGAGTTGTTTTAATTAATGCCTAAATGCGCTTAGGATCTATGTGTACGAAATTTTTGTTGACTCGTCAAAAATACTCGAAAGTTCAATAGAAAATCGATCATATATTGTGCTTAGTGGTAAGTGAAAAGATGTTGAGCGTAACGTAAACTGTTTTTTTAAATAAAATATTCAAAGAACAAATTTCCACGAAAATCGTAAAAATGTCGGCATTTCTAAACGGGCACGTTCAACCGAATTTCGCTTAGAATCGTTTTTTTGTAAACAATGATTTATCGTTGCGTACAGAAATGAATTACATTATTTTATATGTATCCTGTATAATTGTCTTGCCAACTTTCCGCCCACGAACCACAGTAGTGATAAACCCGTCTTCAATTTTAATTTTTTTTTTTATATTATGAATATCGATATTAATTCAAAATAATATTTCGACTAATTAGTTTTTTATGTTTTTTCATTATGATATGTATACATATATAAATATGCATTATTATTATTATTAGGTATTATAATTTTTTAGTTTTTATAAAAACAATTTTTTATTTTACAGAGGAAAAGATTATTATTTTTTTTTACGTAGAAAAACGTCTACAGCCAATTTGGTAGAACTTGTTTATATTTTTGATAAAAACGAAAATTATTTATATACATGTTATTATATTTTTTTCTTTTAAAGTTATTCGATTTAATCTAATCTTTATAGTTAACTCCGATAAATAAGGAACAGAATGTGCTTTTGTTGAATTTTTAACGCACAGTAAATAATTAAATATGGGACGTGAAACCAATAATAATAACTTATCATGTACAATTAATTTTTTTTTTATAGTATTTAAAATAAATGTAAAAAATAGCGAGACAGAGAAATAATTTTATGTCTCAAGCGTTTTGGTTGCACTTTCCCGTTCATTTAATTTTAAACCTATATAAATAATTTTGCCTTCATAAAAAATATTGTAATCATATAGGTTCTATATAAGTTCTACCTAACCAATTTGGCAGTAGACATTTTTATCCATAAAAAAAAAAATAATAATAATCTTCCTCTATGAAATAAAAAAAAAAAAAAACATTTTTCTCTACAAAAAAAAAAAAAAAAAAATTATATTAATACATTTATATGCAGTATACATACTAATATTTCCAGAATTTATTACAGGAACACATCTCTTTGATTTTTAACTGTAATGCGTCCGATCATTTTTATTTGTATTGAGTTTTTATTCTTCAGTAAGTTTTCAATCAATCAAGTCACAAATAGATAACAAAACTGATAGAACAAATTGGGGAGAACGCACCCAAGAGAGTTGTCGAAGAGTATTGCATTAGCCGCAAAGGCTCTTGGAGAGCCGTAAAGGGAAAAGAAGAAGAAGATTATAATAGAATACTGAACATGCAGTTGTTACAGTGGCAGTCAAATGATTTTATCGCGGAGAGGGGGGGGACAAGGATAATTTTTAAGAGCTATTGTTATTTAAATAATTGTTGCATAGCTATAAAGATATAATATATAATACACAGGTGATTTTTAAGCATGCCCATGATAAAATTTTGCATAAATTTAAAAATTTAAAAAAATCGCCTTGTGTGTTATTATAAGCATGTCTCTCTCATCCCCCGACTGTTTGATCGTCCCCGAATTGACAATGAGACATCAAAAATCCGACTAACGGGTGTTATTATTATTATTATTATTATTATTATTATTAGCGGTAGTCACTTGATCTCGCGGGGGGTGCACACCCTATACTCCCCCATAGACACGCTTGAGATACATCGAATATTTTATTAAGAGAACGACACACCCGTATGCGCTGTTAGTTTTAACATTAGAACAATGAACAATATGAAACTTATTATGCAACTTAAAGAACGTCATCCACGCAACGTCTGTGCCGTTTTTGTCGAAATCGTAATTTTTAACCGAGCCACGCGAAATGTCTCAATTTACAACGTTGACAAAAATATCACCAACGTCGCACAGCTGATAAATAAATAAAGCGCGTATTTAAATTGCATAACAGAACAGTTCGCTACGTAATATTATTAAAACTGACGGTATGCAAAGTTTTCACGCGCGCGGACGCGCGAATTCACTACGCTGTTTGTAAGACCGAGACACAGCACACGCGGGGGCGTAGCGTCCTCGTAAGGTCGTCCGTTGAAAACACGGTGAAACTCGCATCGCCCGGGCGCAGCAGTCGTAATACCACTCGACGCCTTCCACACATTCGCCTGTGTAATCCCGCAGCCGACCGAACCGAATTTCGCCTTTAGAGCCCCAAGCCGCGGTGGCTGTGGACGTCCTTCCCGGTAACTTCGAAACACCATACGCGACCTATCCGGATTAAATAAATACTCCCACGCGACACGGGTACACGTAATCTGGCGTACGAGAAGAATCGCATCCCGGATCCTACGGACAGTATAATAGAATACCTAACTTTTTTTTTTTCCAAATCCAATTACCTGCGCGTTTCATCGGTAATAATTGATAGAAAACGATTACCCTCTCCTATACTATATACAAACGTATGGCGTGAGAAGCAATGGTGACGGATCGAGAAGATATTTTTCAACGAAATTAAATTTTCAACTGTCTATATATATACGTTAGTAATTCAATAACGCCCACCCGATTAGCAATACTGTACTATTGACACATTCGGTGCTGTACACCGGAGATAAGTGACGTATTTACGGGGGCGGGGGAATAGGGAAATGTTCCTTGACACTTTTTTAATATCTATTGTTTATACAACTGCTTATTTTCATGTTCAAATTTCTTCACTTTTTAGATCAGGACACATAACATCGAACATTTAACGTGTTTTGGTAGGTGGTAACAGTTCACATAACATTAAAATAAAAAAAAACTCCCGAACAAATACAGTTTATTGTTTAAAATAAAATCTATATCCGAAAAACTGTATTCGTATGAAGGAGGTTAGATTATTACCTGAATAATAATAAATTGATTAATTATAATTACGAATATCTATAGTCACTTATTTGATTTCAATGATAATTTTTTAGTGTGGACTGATTATTATGGACTACGTACAAAAATATACTTTATCGTTATTTTCCGGATACTTGGATCCACGATTGGCAATTTGACAAAATTTCTAAATTCAATAAATTCTCCCTCTTTGGTAAAATCCTGAACGATTTACTGCCGGAGATTATCTACTGCACCAAGTCTGACGATGATAATACAGTTTTATGACTAACCCGTTTAATATTATTATTATTATCACGGGGGAAACTTTGCAGAGGTGTTCGTTTAAAACGGTCAAACTCACCGATGAATGCCCGGAGGTCGAGACCGTGAAACGACGACGTTGCGGACGCCTCGGTGGCTAAGGGGACTCGCCTCGCTGATTTGCGGAGCTCACAAAAACGAACAGCCATGGGCATCATTTGAAGTAAAATCATAGGGTAGCAAGCATTTTGAATAATATTTTTAATTCGCTTGTAATCTAATGAAGTGTCCCTCGCCTCATTATTCGGTGGATTATCAATCAGATCTTAGTTAATTGTTCACGTAGTAAAAACAATTTAGAATAATAGGTACTCAATTGACTGATCTCTTATATACGTTAAAATTCAATATATCCGATAAAATAATTATTACGTTCGTGTGATCATATTACACATTGAAAAAAAAAAAAACAAGACAATTTTACATTTATTAAAAAAAATGAGTCGTAGGGTAGCGTAGCTATTAATCTGTCACCCCAATAAAATTAGTGGGGAAGCCATCGCTACCTTCCACTACCCCGTTATCACGCCTATGATGGGCAGAACCCTTTTATCCTGTCCAAACTGAAAACGTTGTTCGGACTCGCAGGAAGTCCTAAAACCACGCCGGAAGTCGGGCGGAACTAACGTTATCACGCGATTTCGTATTAATTCGAATCAAATACAAAAAAGAAAAAAAAAACGAAGCATAATAATATTGTATCACACTATCAGAATGGTGTTCACGCAGTAATTCTAAAAACCGTGTATCGAGCAAAATGATTTGACGTATTTTCAAATATCTGTAAAACGAAAGAGTATTTCATTTGACTTCATACTAATTTAGATTTATGTAGCTCAGAAATGAAATTATGTATTAAAAAACCATAAAATAATAATAATTATCTCATGATACAACTGTTTAAATTAAAGACCTGATTGATGACGGGTTTTCTAATTTTGTAAAATCCAATTAATTTTTTCTACGTCTCAATGACATTAAAATTGTAAGACTTCGCACTAATCTACTGCCTGATACCTATTTAAAAGGAATGTGTACAGCCTTTTGCGTGGACGAATATGACGTTTCAGACCGAATTGTGTTTGACGGATTTCAATTTTGTAAACTTATTATGTTTCTTTAGGTTCTTTACCAGGACACTTTGTAATTATTTATGCTTTATTTTCTTTATCATAAGTAAAAAAAGGAAAATACTTCAAGTAGGTATGGTTTTGAAATCGTTTTACAAAAATGCAATCAAATTTTTGTTTGTGATTTCCAGTTAAATAATTAAATTTCATATTTCGACATATTCAGATATCCGTTAAAAGAATCCAAAGAATCAAAAATCTTTTTCGAAATTTGTGCATTTTTTTTTTTTTATCTAAAATATACAGCGTTACCGATTCCCTTAATTGTAATGCAAAAGTGTATTATTATGAAATGCTTCAGTACATGGGCGCCCGAAGAAGGGTTAAGAACTCAAGACGGGGCATCTGCCTCCCTGGATTTAAAAACGTAAAATATAATATTGATAATTCATTTATCTGATTTTATTTTAAGTACTTTTTGGTGTTTGATTTTATTATGACACACCCTGATAAATTTCCTGTAGTAAATTTAGAACAACCTATTATTTCGTTTCAAAATTGCATCGTCTCATTTACAAATTACCCCCTATGTTTTTTTTAGTTTATACGCAAATGTATAATGATGGAATAAAGCACTATCTAATTATATTTACATTAATCGCGTTGCAATGTAGCGTATTATTTTGAGATAATGCTGCAGTTCGAGCAATTTATTATTTTACTTAATACCTCGTATTTTCTGTCGTTTGACTTATTTAACTTTGCAATTTCGCATACTGCACTTTTACTATAGGCAAAATGATACAACTCGAAGTCGTATTTTCCGAGTTACAATTCACTATCGTCTGAATGTTCTAATAGAGATATATTATTACACATCAATTATTGGGTATGAGACGTGTACGCGATATTTGCCGGTGTCGTGTGGTATCGGTTTCATCGATACAGATTTTTTTTTATTCAAAACCGACATTTGACTATAAACAGTTTCTGAAATGTAAATAAATCGTTAAAAAAAATTGGTTCTTAACCGACGCATCGGTTAATAATTTCAATATCAATTCATGGTTTTCGATTTCGAAAACCGGGTGTAGGTTTTTTTATCTGAATATCGGATAACGATAAACGGCGTCGGTCCATCTCTACCTCATCACAGCTTAATCTTGGTGTATATTTAGTATATTTATATAATAGGCGATAACATGTTATTGTTAAAAATATAAAATGGCGTTCGCGAGAAACTTCGAGGCGGCCAAAAACGATTATTAAACTCGTCCGCGGGGGCGACGAGACGTAAAAACGACGCGCCAGACACTGCAGCAGTTCGGACCATTTCGACTGACCTTATTGCCCGTACAACGACATTTCGAATTTAAAATTCCTAACTGCGGCAGAAGTTTTCGAAAACTCCCGCTCACCTTTACGCGGTGTTATTATGAAAACAAATAATATAACGAGTGATAAATCGTTATTATTTATAATATGTACACGTATGCGAGGTGGGTTTAATGGGCGTACATAATAATATTTGTAACAAATTGACATTTTCGAAAAAAAAAAAAAAATGAAATAAAAATTATGTTAATATTTGATCTGTATACGGACGGTTTATATATGTTCGTTTGTTATTTCACCTGCGTGTGATGTAAAAGTTGTACTCGTCTTTTGTGATTTTCAATTTTTTACACAAATCGTTATTACGGAAAACATTTTTACGATAACGAAAAGAAAAGGCCTTAACTATTGGAATATCGATGACCATTATTTACACTTGACGGATCTCAACGTTTTATGGTCGATCCTCCCGGTACCTGAAATACGTATATGTCACATACAGGGCGATACACGTAACCGGAAACACTCATTATCTCGGAAAGTATTAACATTTTTCGGAATTATTTTTATTTTAAACATTTAAGGTAAACAAATATTTCAAAAAATTTTTTTTTCTTGTCACCCTTATTTTTTCGGGGTGAAATGACTACTTTCACTATTCAAACACCACGCGTCACGCCGTCACACAAATGATACTCCGCTACTTTCCCCTCCCCCACCCATATTTAAAAGTGGAATATCTCGTCAACCGGAAGGAAATCAAAAATTTGGACATCAGAATTTATGTTAACTATTATCCTATCTGCTTAAGGCATTTTCAATATAAATTGCCAATTGAAAATCGAAAATAGGTAGACGTTTCACTACCCCCAAAAAAGGGTGCGTATAAAATGAGAATGTAACATTTTAGAACTAAAGTTCTCAAGTTTTTGAACAAAAAAGTTCCGAAAAAGATAATACTTTCCGAGATAATGAGTGTTTTCCAGTTGAGTGTATCGCCCTGTATACAGGGTTAATAACAAAAGGCACTCATGATCTCGGAAAGTATCAACTTCCGCCGCTTCACAAATGGTGCTCCGTTAGTCTACTCTTACTCATAAAACGACAAAAGCATAAAAGTGGAATATACAACACCAAAGAGATGACCGAAAAAATTGCACAAACATGTATTCAAACTAAAACTTCATCAATTTATAAAATTTATAATACATCTACGTTGTTATTTAAAAATCAAACGTGGATATAGAGGTTTCGCCCTCAAAAATAAGGTTGACAAAAAACAACTGTAATGTAACATTTTAGAACCACTCTTTTATTACATTTTTAAAAAAAAAATAAATTACGAAAAATTTAATAATCTCCGTGATAACGATTTTCTGATCCCCTTACACTGTATACGCATGCGAAATAATGTATACCTAATATAGTATAGCTTATTGACACGGGCTTTGGTAAACTGGTTTTAAGGATTTTGTGACTTACAGAGCGTGACGAGGAACGAAATGGTTCGACTTTGTGTTTTTAAATTTTGTATTTTATGTCTGTATCTTTCTGTGTCTATTATTATTTTACCAGAAATATTAGTTAAAAAAATTTTTTTTTTTTTTAGTGTTGTATTGAGGTCACGTTTTGATTTCTTTCGTATTTTTCTAAAAAAAAAAAACTTTTAAAGTTATCCTATTTAAAAAACCGTATAGGAAAAATGGGGAAATGTATGGCGATAATATCGTTATTGTTATTTTTTTTAAAACTTCATGCAATTTATATTTTTATTTTAATAAATTCTAATGTTAGCAGGTTTTTGAAAAAAAAAAAAAATGAACATTAAATTTCGTATAGGTATTCATATAACCTATCTTTTTGTAACCTTTAACACAGTAGAACTCATTATAATTTTAACAAGAAAAAATTCTCAGTAATATATTTTTATCTGTGCGTGGTCCAATTTGCAATTTCATTTTGTTATAAAACTCGAATATTTTGCTGAACGAAAAAACATCTACCTACTCGATGGCCGGAGATTTTATAGACTTTGAAATGTATTGTAGACTTTTAAATGAATGAAAAAAGAAACCAAGTGCATAGGATCTTTTTTCCAATTTCATATATTGATTCAGAACTGGGTATTCTACAGATTTTCGAAAATATACAAAATAACGTCTCGTGCTATAATATGAACGTACATGAATATGTATACAAGTATAATATGAAACAAAACAATTTTTTTTGATTTTTTTTTTTTTTTTTTTCTTATACCCTTATTAGTTTATTTTGAGTAATATTGCTGAACTTGATTATTGAACAATGTTATTCTAGTTTGGTCAAACAATTTGAAAGACTAAATACACTGTTATGTCTATAAAATGTAAATATCACAATTCACATAATATAATATTATTATAATTTGGACAGAGCGTACAGCGATAAACCCGTTCTATCCCTTGGTACAAACGTCACTTTTGTGTCACTATCTTCTCCTAAACGAACGGATCAACTTGTATGAAACTTGCAATGTTATATACAATCGCGATTGCCTTAAAATTTGACAGTGCATTGATCCAATATGAATCTCCCACGTGTTTTCGTCAATTAGTTACAAATATAATTGTTTAAT